GCATGTGGGTGGGTATTCTGTTTGTAATCATTGTTTGGATACACTATGTCTTTAATATGCTAGTTGTGATAATCTCATGCCAAGTAAAAATGTCCATAATCATATTTTATGTTCCTAAAGTAACAGAATGACTTTCAATCTAGAAAAGACAAAAGAAATGCTAATATAGCATTTTTTTCCAATTTTCCCAAAAATCTCCGTTTTTCCCGGGAAAAAATGGGGGGAAACCGGGGTTTTTTCCGAGCTTCAAAATTTCCGGAAATTTTACATCTCTAGTTGTGAGTGAGCGATTTGGCTCCTGCATCAATCAGTTTGCCCTGGAGCCCTCCTTCCCGAGCTAAGACAAAAATGTGTGAGTTGGAGGCTAAAAAACTCTGAGCTTCTCTCCTTTTTTCTTGTTGATTGTATTTAACTCACAATTACTTTAGAGTTATGTTGTTGTTGTAAAGTTGTATATTATAAAACTAAAATAAAAATTTATATTTAAAACAAAACAAAACTGTGAGCTGGCTCACACTAACTCAGCTTAGAGGGAACATTGCTCTCTGGCCCTTTCCTCCTAGGGAAGGTGTGCTCCAACCCCCTCTTTCTCTTGGTCACCCTCCTCCGTACTCTTTCCAGCTCTGCCATATCCTTTAGGACAGGGGTGTCGAACTCATTTGTTACGAGGGCCAGATCTTGTTGTAAAATAGTCAAAAGTGTTTAATACTCAGACTATCAATGGATCTTGCACTATTGGAAAGAAGAGATTCCTTTGCTTTTAAAAACCTTTATTTCTAAGGGTAAAAGGTACTCGGGATTACTACAAATAAACATAACTCTAACAGCTACATTTTCTAAGCTGTCTATAGTTAACACTAACACACGGATAATGGAGAATCTGTCCTTCTTCTCGACCCCTAGAAAGGAATTCACCTGAAAACAAACAACCAATCTGTATCACAGTAGAAGCTACTTTCCCCGGGCTAATTCCCCATTGGCTCAGTGCCAGGTATCCCTTCCAGGTCAGTCTAAACAATAGCAATACTAAGCAAACAAGTTAACCCTATAATGACTGGATTGTCAGACCTTGTAAACACATACATTTCCAACAGATCTGACATAAATGAGACCTCGTTGGGCTGGGCCACGTGCGTCATAAAACGTCATGGTAGTGAAGATATAAACCTTACAAAGGACACAAACACAAAACATGCTTAAAACATGAACACTCTTGCAATATTTTGTTTATTTAACAGTCTCTGGTAACCGACACTTCTTGCTCTGAATCATTGCCTCAAAAGGTCTGCACTGTAGCGACCTGGGAGGGGGAGGAGCCTCAGCCCAGGGCAGGGAGCAGAAGCTTGCCTATCTATCTCTCCTGAGCGATTGAGAGGGTCTGGGAAAGCAAGCTATGATGCAGCAGCAGAACTGGAGGAAGAAGCAGGAGACAGCCAGTCCCTTGCGGGCCTGATCTGGCTCCCGGGCCGCATGTTTGACACCCATGCTTTAGGAGATACGGTGACCAGAATTGTACACAATATTCAGAATGAGACCACACCATCGATGTATAAAAGAGCATTATATCAGCCATTTTGTTTTCAATTCCTTTTCTAATAATTCCTAAAATAGCATTTGCCTTTTTCATCGCTGCGGCACACCGGGTTGGCACTTTCATTGAGCTATCTGCTACGACCCCGGGACCTTTCCCCCTCTCAGTCTCCATCTTCCCTCCATTTTATCAAGATTAAGCTTCAGTTTCTTCAAGCCTGTCTGGTCCTGTATAGGCCGTTGGATAACGAGCAAACTGCGGCAAAGGATTGGCTGTCCAGGGTCAGCTGCTACCTAGACCCAGGAAGATTCTGGACCATGGCTTGAATTTTTCTCAGTGACCAGTAGTCTGTTACCTCAGGTGGATCCACAGTCGCTCACTGGCTGTCTGGCTTGGGCCTTCTTCTCTGTCCACCTTCAGGGCGCTACGGCCGTCGCCTGAACGTCTGGGACTGGACCACCCACTGCCTTCTCCAGTCGATCGACTTAGGGGAGGACTCCGCCCCCTTCGAGATCCGGTTCCTGCACAACCCCGACGCGGCACACGGAATGGTAGTCTGCACATTCCAGGGCACCGTCTATCACTTCTACAAGACGCAGGTGAACGTCGGCGACTGTCTATGCACAACTGTGAGCTGAAATACCCGCAAGCATAAATGTACAAAAAGAGACTTTTAATAAAGTGAAAAGAAGCATATAATTAGCATATCAGTAACATATGGGAATGAAAAATCCTCAATCCATAAAGGGGAAACAGTCAAGTCCAGAGAAAATTTCCACCACTTTTCCTAGGTAGTTGATAGTGTTTCAGACTTCTGGTCCTTCCTCAGGAACACAGAACAGCATAGGAAGTCTCATACCAGTTTCTTAACAGGATGATGCTATTCAACTTCTTTATGGGCTAGGTCTCCTAAGGTCTCCACTAGGGTTGCTTCTATGAGAACAGGACCAACACTGAGGATTTTTCATTCCCATATGTTACTGATATTGCTAATTATATGCTTCTTTTCACTTTATTGAAAGTCTCTTTTTGTACATTTATACTTGCGGGTATTTTCAGCTCACAGTTGTTGTTTTATTGTTGTTCTTGGCTATATTAGACTGTGTGCTGTACTGTTTGTTACTTGACTGTTTATGCACGGCAATAAAAATGGCTCGCTGAGTTTCCTTGCCTGAAACGGAGAGGGTGGCAGTGGACAGTCCCAGTTCTCCAAGTTCACCAGCACTGTGGATTTCACTGCTGGTCTGTACATGACCTTTAGCCCGTAACAGAGGTCGGAAATCCTGTAGAGCAGGGGTCCCCACAGCGTGGAGCTCATGGGCACAGTGGTGCATGCCAGTGTTTGGGATTTCAGGTAAAAAGCAGACATGTTCTACATGTTGACTCTCTAAAGTCTAAACCCGATGTAATGTAATGTAACAGAGATTTGTTGTATGTAGTAATAGAATCACAGAATGTTATAATAATAATCTTTCAATTTATTGATCGCTCAGTCCTTACAGAGCTGCCAGCTCTGAGCGATTTACAGTTACTCTTTGTGTTGACACGGGACTAACAATGAGGGGGTAAAGGGAGGACAACATATATCATTTAAATTACACACATTCCACAGTCGACAGGGAGTTTATGGTCTGCGGTGATCATCAGGCGTGTTCCGGCAGCCTTTCTCTCTCTCTCTCTCTCTCTCTCTCTCTCTCTCTGTCGCTTTTGATGTCGTCAGCATTTTTTCTCGGTCGCAGCGCACCACTGCCACCGTCTGGCCGGAATGGCCCATTGCAGGCTGCGTAGATCTTTTCTCGGCTTATGATGTTACGCACGGACCTTCCGTTGTCAGCTTAACACCTCACCCATGGGGGGGGTTTAGTGTGCCCGCTCTCTCTAAGGAGCGGTACCCATTTTATCTACTCGTCGAAGCTTTCGAACTGCTGGGTGGACAGCGAACTGGGGACAAGACTTGGTAGCTCACACCAAGTGCGGGGCTCGAACTGACAGCAGTCCTATTCAGCTCAGATGTTTAACCAGAGGATAAATCCCCTGTGCCACCGCTCCCCATTGTTAGAGTTTGAAGGGACCTTGCAGGTCATCTAGTCCAACCCCCCTGCACTCTGCAGGCGCACAGACAAAAGATAGCCCTACAACATACCCGAAAGATGGTCATCCAGCCTCCGCTTGAAAACATCCAGCAAAGGAGCATCCGCCACCTCCTGAGGCAGACTGTTTCACTGCTCAACCACTCTTACAGTCAGAAAGTTTCTCCTGATATTCAGCCGGTATCGACTCCCTTGTAATTTCCACCCATTAGATCTAGTCTTGCAATCCGGAGCAAGAGAGAATAGATCTGCTCCATCTTCCCCATGACAGTCAAAGGCCATCACAATAAAAGATTAGGAACATAATGATAAAAAAATTATTCAAACAGAACTAAGAACGGCATTAAAAATACAGGGTACAAGATAAGGCACAAGAACAAATTAGTGTTAGATTACAAAGATAAAAATACCATCAGGGTCAGCCATAATAAATCTAATTAGCAAGGCCAATTATAAATATTGATACACAATCTAAACATCTAAACAGCTAAACTAAACATCTAAAATAAATCCGGTAAGTCATGAAAAATAATTATTCACGCAGCAATCTTGGCCCTGATTTGTTTTCGGGTTTTTTTGCTGCCAGGGCAAAAAGAGACCCTCGGTAAGTAACAAACAGGTCAGCATCAGATAATAAAAAGACCAGTTTATCGATATCAGAGGAAAAAGTTTGTCCTGTTAACACAGGGGTGTCGAACTCATTTGTTATGAGGGCCAGATCTGACATAAATGAGACCTTGTTGGGCCGGGCCACGTGTGTCACAAAATGTAATGCCAGGTAGCGGAGATATAAACTTTATAAAGGACACAGACACAAAGGGGTTTTTTTTAACTTAGAATAAAAACATGCCTAAAACATGAGCACTCTTGCAACATTTTCTTTATTTAACAGTGTCCGATAACTGACACCTCTTGCTCTGAATAATTGCCTCAAAATGTCTGTGCTGTTGCAATCTTGAGTGTGCTGTTCAGGTGTGTATCTGTAAGCTGCAAACCTACAATGACTCAGCAGCAGCAGAACTGAAAGAGGAAGCAGAAGATAGCCAGTTCCACTGTGGGCCTGATAGAAGCCCTCCGGGGGCCTGATCTGGCTCCCGGGCCACATGTTTGACATCCCTGTGTTAACAGATTATCGAGAAATTTAGTTCTAACTAAACCCCATGTGCTAACCCCAGGCAGGGTTAGTGACAAAGAGCCACAAACTTGTCTAAGCCTCCACCCCGGGGACATCTTCTGATCTGTTGATTACCCCACTGGAGAAACCTAGCTAATTATGCATTTTAACACCTTGCTCTGGCATGGTCTGCTGTGGGGTCTCTCTCTAAATAGCCAGGATATCAGCATGCATAAACCAACAGGCAAATTCTCCCGTGACCACAGGGAGAGAACTTGCAAACTCTAACCGCCGGCCCCTCTCCTGGTGCCTAACAAGTGTTTTGAGAAAGTGGGCGGGGCCAGGTGGGCCTTTTGCCTAGCAAGGTTTCTGATTGGCCACTGGAGATTTGATTGGCTGTGCAGATTAAAAATAAATAAATAAAATAACCTGCTTTGACCGCAGGGGCCGCCACAACACCAGGATCTTCACTGGGTGTCCGAAGGGAAGCTGCGGCAGCCATTTTGTGGGTGGCCCCATGTTGTAACTCAAGATCAGGCAGCTCTTTCTTAACCAGTGATTTCAGTTTATCAGAACAGGACACAGGCCACATAGAACAACCCCAACTTATATACAGTTTGGAACGAGCTAAACCACACTCCTAGAACAGTAAGGTCCAATCCTAAGTGAGTGCTTAGGACCAATAGGTATTGTTCCCGCCAAAAGTCATAGTCTTTCCTGATTGGTCCGTTGCACCACAGGAGCCAATCGGGCTGTTGATTTTTAGGATACCGGGAGTCTACGGAGCTTGTGACCGAAGCTCAGGCTCATTCTCCTACTCGGGCTATTCACATACAAAATAGGGTTGCCAAATCAAAAAACCGGACCGGCGGGGGATCGTCCCGCCAGTCCGGGAGTCGTCGCCGAAAGCGCGCGCGCGCAAATCGCGCGCGCGCTCAAAGTCCTCATTTTCAAAATGAATCAACGGCTATCCAGAGTGGAGTTTTTATAGCTGCCACCAGAGGGCGGTCTCTGCACAGTTTCCATACTTCAGTTTTCTTCTTTACCGGGCCTTTCTCTGCCTCGGGCCTAGAATATATGAAACTGCAACTAAATCGGACCCTCAGTCCATCTCAAATGGCGTGGCCCCGCCCCCAGCGTATGACGTCACTTCCTGTGACGCGCACGCTGGGGAGGGGTTCCCCCCGGGCCCCGATTCCCCGGCGTCGGGGAACGGGACCTCCGGGGCGGGGGATTTCCGCCCTACCGGGGGGGTTGGCAGCCCTAATACAAAATACATAACACTCCGCCTCCCACAGTAGCCGTACACCACGCTGTGTCCGAATTCCAAAGGGTGCCCACTGAAAAAAAGTTGGGGACCCCTGCAACCTTAGAGGCCAACAACATTTTTTGGGGGTATGAGCTTTTGGGAGCCCCTTCAAAGGGAGCTCTGACTCCCAGAATCCATCACCCGAAAATCTTGGTCTGGGTCAAAAAGGGTTTTAGTTGCATATCGGGGGTGGGGGGGGGGAACACACCTTTTTGCTTGGGTATGAAGAATCCCTGGGGTATTATTATTAAGGTTAGGTTAAATAAACGTTTAAGGTATCATGTAGGCACACCTTATCTCCTTAACTATGTCAGTCTGGGTATAAAATTTCATGTACTTCCTTCTCGTGCTCAGAAATCAGTCACTTTTGGATAGGCTGGTTTGGCCTGTTTTCAGGTGTTTTAATTGCAATTAGAGTCAATGGACATTCCTCCTAATTTTCACTTCTCTTTTTTGGCTGGAAATCTATTTGTGCAACAGTCTTTAAGGTGCTCCTGGACTCTGAGTTATTTATTTATTTATTCGTTGGATTTCTATCCCGCCGAAGCGGCTCAGGGCGGCTTCCAGTTATAAAACCGGCACAAATACATACATTGCTCTTCTGTACTGCGAGTCAGGTCCTACTTATGTAATTTCTGTACCGCTTAATGTGCCGTGTGGATACTTACGCTATACTCCTTTTTTCCTGGTGGTTCCAGACGTCTCTAAAATCCCAGTGCCTTGGTTACCGACTATCCCATTTTGTCATTTGTACTGACTCACTCGGCGTCACCCGCCTTGAGTCCCTGTAAGACAGGCGGACTATAGATAATGTAAATAAATAAATCATATCTGTTTCTTCCACAGGATGGAAGTTGGACAGCAGATAAAGTGATTGCGGTTCCGAACAAGAAAGTGTCAGGGTGGTTATTACCCGAAATGCCAGGTTGGTCAAAGGGACGGAGTTTGGGACTGTTCTGTATAATTTCCCACACACACACACTCTTCACAAACTGCAATTGGTTTTCGCACATCCTATTGTTAGCTTAGTGGAGGAGACAGGCAACTGCGCCCCCTGCTGGAAGAGCAGAGACTCTGGCCTGGGTCACTCATGCCTCGGCCTCTTTGCAGGGCACACCGTGAGGGGGTGTTTGGTTGCATCCGCAGGAGCACCGTTTTGCTCTCCCTTGGTTTCGGCTTCCCAACGCAAGTGGTGTTTCCCGGATGCTCCACACGCTGTCGTCCTTCAGTTGCCCACTATCCGAGCGGTCCCCCCATTTGCTCCGGTCCAGGGGTGTAGCCAGAAAATGTTGCTTGGTTGGGAAATCTGAGGGGGGCACCCCGGCCGGACCTGCTGCTCCTCTTGCAGCAGCAGCAGCTGATCCAGCTCCACTGTGACCTCCGGTCCTTTCGATTGGGGAGATTTGATTCCAGGCTGCTCTTCCGCTCCCCCCCCCCGACCATCTATTTTGCATTTTGCAATTTCATTTTATTTTATTGCATTGTTAAAAACCTATTTATTTTTCGGCCTGGAAAAAAAGAAAAACGAGACTGAAGCTTCCCTGATTGTGTCTGGGGTCATTTTGAAACACCTACATGTAGCTTAACAGTTTTCTAAACAACAATTTTTGAGGGGGCAGGACTCATCTGTGGGGGGGGCGTTGCCCCCAAATGCCCACCACCACCACTGGCCTGTTCCAGTCTTTCCCATACCTGCTTGGGTATGCGTTCTCTGGCAAGAACATAATCCAAGCACATTTGCATGGCTCCTGGGTGGGAAGTGGGCCTTTTCAACCGCCTGTCCACGTTGGTACCATTTTTCTGTTGTCATCCCTTTCGGGCCACCGTTTCCCCGGCTGTGCCACCAGTGGGCTTTGGAAGAGAATTGGTAGTTGCAAGGAGGAGGAAATTGGATTTATACCCTGCCCTGCAGTACCCGAAGGAGTCTCAGAGCAGCTTACAATCCTTTTCCCTTCCCCTCCCCACAACAGACACCCTGTGAGCAGTGTTCCCTCTAAGCTGAGTTAGTGTGAGCTAGCTCACAGTTTTTTAGCCTACAGCTCACAGATTTTTATCTTGGCTCAGGAAGGATTAGCTCCAGATCAAACTAATTTATGCAGCGGCCAAATTGCTCGCTCACAACTTTGATGCCAGGAGCTCACAAAGTAGAATTTTTGCTCACAAGACTCCACAGCTTAGAGGGACCGTTGCCTGTGAGGCAGGTGGGGCTGAGAGAGCTATCTCGAGAACTGCCCTTGAGAGAACAGCTCTGAAAGAACTTGTGACTGACCCAAGGTCACACCAGCAGCTGCATGTGGAAGAGGAGTGGGGAATCAAACCCGGTTCTCCCAGATTAGAGTCCGCGCACTTAACCACGACACCAAACTGACATAAATATTCCTGCCTTCTTCTCCTCCAGCCTTTAACACCGACATGCTCATTTCATTGGACGATCGGTTCATGTACATGAGCAACTTCATCCATGGCGACGTCCGTCAGTATGACATCACTGACCCTTTTTGCCCCAGGCTGGTTGGCCGGGTAAGCGTCTTCCTTCAAGGGTCCTTCTCTCTCAGCTGGGCATATGAGGCTGCACACCATCATTAAAATCCCCTGGCTCAGTGGCAGAGCCCCTGCTTGGCATGCGGAAAGTCCCAGGTTCAATCCCCGGCATCTCCAGTCAAAAGGACCAGGCAGGAGGTGATGGGAAAGACCTGCGCCTGAGACCCTGGAGAGCTGTAAAGAGGGGCTATGGCTCAATGGAAGAGCCTCTGCTTGGCATGCAGAAGGTCCCAGGTTCAATCCCCGGCATCTCCAGTTCAAAGGACCAGGCAGGAGGTGATGAGAAAGACCTGCACCTGAGACCCTGGAGAGCTGTAAAGAGGGGCCGTGGCTCATTGGAAGAGCCTCTGCTTGGCATGCAGAAGGTCCCAGGTTCAATCCCCAGCAGCATCTCCAGTCAAAAGGACCAGGCAGGAGGGGACATGAAAGACCTCCGCCTGAGACCCTGGAGAGCTGTACAGAGGGGCTGTGGCTCAGCGGAAGAGCCTCTGCTTGGCATGCAGGAGGTCCCAGGTTCAATCCCCGGCATCTCCAGTCAAAAGGACCAGGCAGGAGGGGACATGAAAGACCTCAACCTGAGACCCTGGAGTGGACAATACTGACTTTGATCGACAGATCGAGGTCTGATTCAGTATATGGTCACTTTATGATTTGGGGAGGGTTCTTGGCTCAGTGGTAGAGCATCTGCCTGGCATGCAGAAGACCCCAAGTTCAGTTAAAAGGACCAGTAGCTGGGGATGCGAGAGACCTCTGCCTTAGACCCCGGACAGCCTCTTCCAGTCTCAGTAGACAATACTAAAAAGGTTCATCTAATTCAGTACAGTTCATCTAATTCCTTGTGTGTTCAGGTTGTGCGTTTGCCCTGATGACATGGAACACATGAAGATGCTTCCAACCTTCGGTCCATCAATCATCGTCTGTTCTCAGTACTGCCATAAGAACATAAGGGAAGCCCATGTTGGATCAGGCCAGTGACCCATCCAGTCCAACACTCTGTCACACAGTGGCCACAAATACCAGGTGCCATCAGGAGGTCCAGCAGTGGGGCCAGGACACTAGAAGCCCCCCCACTCTTGCAGCCCCCAGGCACCAAAAAGACAGAGCATCCCTTGCCCCAGACCGAGAGTTCCTATCCATACCTTGTGGCTAATAGCCACTGATGGACCTCCGCTCCGTATGCTTATCCAATTCCCTCTTGAAGCCGTCCATGCTTGTAGCCGCCACCTCCTGTGGCAGTGAATTCCATTTGTGAATCAGTCTTTGGGTGAAGAAGGACTTCCTTTGATCCGTTCTAACCGGACCGCTCAGCAATTTCATGGAGTGCCCACAAGGAGTTCTTGTCTTGTGAGAAAGGGAGAAAAGGACTTCTTTCTCGACCTGCTCTATCCCATAGTACTTCTTTCTCTACCTGCTCTGTCAGATGGGCAGCAGCTCTCCAGTTCCTGAGGTAGAGGCCTTTCGCATCACCCGCTATTTGGTCCTTTGTTAACTGGAGATGCCAGAGATGGGACCTTCTGCATGCCAAGCAGATACTCTACCCCGAGGCACAGACATGGGGGGACTACCTCCACCTTAACCTGCCTGTGAGCATCCCGATTCTTGTTTGCAAACGGAGAGGGGAAGTAATTCCGGGGCACCCTTCAGCGTCACGCCAAGAAATGGAAGCCTTTAGGTTGATTGCAGAGGATTTGATTTTCTAACAGCCATGAGTTTTCCCTCTGCATAAAGATTCTTCCGGCACTGGGCAGGCTCTTAGTTTTGGGGAAACACCACTGTCAGTGGAATGGATCTGCTGGATCCAACATCTTTCCTGCATTCTGATTTTTTGTCGCTTGCATGTTCCTGTTGCTTCAGGGTTTTTTTTCCCTTTTCCACGCGTGTTTTGCTTTCGCTAGAGCTCGATTCGATATTACATCACTGTACGTCTGGCTTATTTCCCTGCAGTTTTAAAGTGCAGGGAAATATGTCGGACATACAGCGATGTAATATGTAATCAACCACTAGAGGGAGCAGAACACATGTGGGGAAAACCCCAGGAGCAATAGGGACACACCAGTGACGAAAATCAGACTGCGGAAGAGCCCATGGTCTCCCTTTCAATCCCTTTAACCCCTTTCTTCTGCTTGAACCAAGGTGGCGAGATACTGCTGATAAGCCATTCTGCATCAGATTATCACAACATTCACCACCTCCCTAGGCAGCTGATTCCACCTTTGAACCACTCTGACAGTGGAAAAGCTTTGAACCACTCTGACCGATCCTCTCTCTTTTTGGGGGATCTTTGTGTGCACAGGAGCTGCGGTGGCTCAAGTGGTTAAGATCCTGAACTGCAGGCTGTGGAAGGGCGGTAGTTCAGCAGTTCAAGCCCCGAGTGTGCCGCATGACGGAGTGCGCTCCCGTCTCTGGTCCCAGCTCCTGCCAACCTAGCAGTTCGAAAGCAAGACATTGCAAGTAGATAAATAGGCACCACTTCGGTGGGAAGGGAACAGCGTTCCGTGCGCCTTGGTGTTTAGTCATGCCGGCCCCCATGACCACGGAAACGTCTTCGGACAGCGCTGACTCTTCGGCTTTGAAATGGAGATGAGCACTGCAACCCTAGAGTCGGACTCGACTGGCTTTCGAGCAAGGGGACCTTGACCTTTACCTTGTGTTCACACAGGTGTGGGTGGGCGGCAGCATCCCAAAAGGCGGGGTGGTCACCGTCCTTGAAGATCCGGAGCTGAATGGCCAACCTGATCCTTTCATGATCCAGGTGAGTGACTCACAAACGGAGGGGGAGAGTGCGGCTGGGTGGTAAGGTTACCAACTCTGGCTTGGGAAGTTCCTGGAGATTTGGGGGGTGGAGGCCGGGGAGAGTGGGGTTTGGGGAGTCCAAGCTGATTTACGGTGACGTCATAGGGTTCTGGAGGCAAGAGGTGTTCAGGGGTGGTTTGCCATTGCCTGCCTCGGCGCCATGACCAATGGTCCCTCCAAGCTGAGGAGTCTTATGAGCAAAAAAGTCTGCTTTGTGAGCTGCTGGCATGACCGTTGCGAGCGAGCGATTTGGTTGCTGCATGAACTAGCCTGCTCTGTGGCCCTCGGTCCTGAGCGAAGACAAAAACGTGAGCCGGAGGCTAAAAAAAACTGAGCTGGATCACACTCACTCAGCGTAGAGGGAACGATGGCCATGACCCTGGTATTCCTTGGAGGTCTCCCATCAGAGCACTAGCCAGAACTGACCTTGTTTCGTTTCCGAGATCTCATGGGATTGGGCCAGCCTGGGAGACTCAGGTCAGGGCTCCTCCTTGACAGGCTGTTTTTCATCCAAAACTGGCTCGGGTCCCAAAATCCCCACTCTGCTTCCCCGAGGAGTCCCCTCCCAATCAGTTGCCAGTGACGGCTGCATCACCGAACCCCATAATCAGGGGTCATTTCCTACAGGAGCGCACAGGAGCGGAGCTCCGGCAGTAAAGAGCCCAGGGGGTGGGCACATGCAACAAGCCCCGCCCCCTGCTCCCAGCAGCCCTCAGTCAGAGCAAGAAGCAGCCAGGTAGGTGTTGCCTTCTGACACACTTCCAGCGACGTCAGGGGGCGTGGCACATGCAAATAAGTTATGCAAATGAGTTATGCTAATGAGCTCCTGCACCTCTTTTTCTACGAAATGACCCTTGCCCATAATACCGGCAACTCCAGCAGGTCCTAAAAGACAAAACAGGTGCCATGCAGCCTTCTCCTGGTTTTTGCCGATCTGCATCTCTTCAACCTCCCTCCCGTTTCCCCCCGTCTTTCTTGTAGGGAAGGAGAGTCTACGGAGGACCCCAAATGCTTCAGCTCAGCTTGGATGGCAAGAGACTCTATGTCACCAACAATCTGTACACTCCGTGGGACAAGCAGTTTTACCCCGAACTGGTCAGGTAAGAAACCTCTCCCCCTTATCCCCGCGGCCGGCCCCCTGCCCTCGACGTTCGCCGCTCGTTCACCCGGCCCGTTTCCTTCCTCCTTCAGGGAAGGTTCCGTCATGCTGCAGATCGACGTGGACACGGAATGCGGGGGTCTGTGCGTGAACGAAGACTTCCTGGTCGATTTCGGGAAGGAGCCCTTCGGGCCTGCCCGGGCTCACGAGATGCGTTACCCTGGGGGAGACTGCACCTCGGATATCTGGGCCTAGGTGGGGGGCACGTGGGCCTGCTCCGATGCTAGCTTTGGGGGAAGGCTGTGGAGAAGGCACGCACATGGCGGCTTGGGGTTCTTCTCTGCTCATCAGTTTGTTTTTTTTAAATGTATGTTTGTGCTGATCCGTGGCATGGAAGCTTTTTAGGGCTGCCAACTGTGGTCGGGGAAATTCCTGGAGATTTGGGGGCGGAGCCTGGGGAGAGCAGAGTTTGGGGAGAGAAGGAAGCTAGGCAGGGATGCAATGCCGCTCTAGGACTTCCATCTCCCAGACTCGATGGTAAGCCATAGAGTCCGCCCACCAAAGATGCCATTTCCTCCAGGGGAACCGATCTCTGTAGTCTGGAGATAGCTTGTAATTCTGGGAGATCACCAGGCCCCACCTGGAGGGTGGCATCTTTAAGCACTGGGTTTCTCTAAGGCAGGGGTGTCGAGCTCATTTGTTACGAGGGCCGGATCTGACACAAATGAGACCTTGTCGGGCCGGGCCATGTGTGTCATAAAATGTAATGCCAGGTAGAGGAGATATAAACTTTATAAAGGACACAGACACAAAGGGTTTTTTTTTAACTTAAAATAAAAACATGCTTAAAACATTAGCATGCTTGCAATATTTTGTTTAACAGTGTCTGAGAACTGACACCTCTTGCTCTGAATTACTGCATTAAAATGTCTGTGTGGTTGCAATCTTGAGTGTGCTGTTTAGGGGTGTATCTGTAAGCTGCAAACCTACGATGACGCAGCAGCAGCTGAACTGGAAAAAGCAGGAGGCAGCCAGTTGCATTGCGGGCCTGATAGAAACCCTCCAGGGGCCTGATCCGGCCCCCGAGCCACATGTTTCACGCCCCTGCTCTGAGTCAACCGACTCAGTTGCTCCTGAAATCCGGAGAGGGGAAGTAACTCAGTTTACATCCTTGTCAAGGGTTCTTGGTTTTACGCTCGCAGGGCTTAATGAAATTCAAATGTGGCTTCCTTGGAATGAGGAAAAAAATGGGTATGTGGCACAGCTCTAACACAAGGGAAACCGGGGCAATAAAAGGGTTTCTTCTATACTGCCTGGATGTCTGTGTCTTTTTCAACTTTCAAAGTGGTTCCTTATAGCCTCTTCCAAAAGAACATGGCAGTAAAATTGTGTTTTAAACCGGGGTCCCCCAGATTAGAGTCTGTGCACTTAACCACTACACAAAACTGGCTCTCAGGATGACAAAGAGGAGGAGATCGGATTTATACCATGCCCTTCTCTCAGAGTCTCAGAGCACCTTACAATCTCCTTTCCCTCCCCACAACAGACACCCTGTGAGGTCGGTGGGGTTGAGAGAGCTCTGAGAGAACTGCTGATGGGAGAACAGCTCTGAGAGAACTTGTGACTGGCCCAAGGTCACACCAGCAACTGCATGTGGAGGAGTGGGGAATCAAACCTGGTTCTCCCAGATTAGAGTCCACAAACTTAACCATAAGGGAAACCAGGGCAATAAAAGGTTTTCTTCCATACTGCCTGGATGTCTGTGTCTTTTTCAACGTTCAAAGTGGTTCAACGGACTCATTCTTAGGGCCTCTTCCAAAAGAACATGGCAGTAAAATTGTGTTTTAAACCGGGGTCCCCCAGATTAGAGTCTGTGCACTTAACCACTACACAAAACTGGCTCTCAGGATGACAAAGAGGAGGAGATCGGATTTATACCATGCCCTTCTCTCAGAGTCTCAGAGCACCTTACAATCTCCTTTCCCTCCCCACAACAGACACCCTGTGAGGTCGGTGGGGTTGAGAGAGCTCTGAGAGAACTGCTGATGGGAGAACAGCTCTGAGAGAACTTGTGACTGGCCCAAGGTCACACCAGCAACTGCATGTGGAGGAGTGGGGAATCAAACCTGGTTCTCCCAGATTAGAGTCCACAAACTTAACCATAAGGGAAACCAGGGCAATAAAAGGTTTTCTTCCATACTGCCTGGATGTCTGTGTCTTTTTCAACGTTCAAAGTGGTTCAACGGACTCATTCTTAGGGCCTCTTCCAAAAGAACATGGCAGTAAAATTGTGTTTTAAACCGGGGTCCCCCAGATTAGAGTCTGTGCACTTAACCACTACACAAAACTGGCTCTCAGGATGACAAAGAGGAGGAGATCGGATTTATACCACGCCCTTCTCTCAGAGTCTCAGAGCACCTTACAATCTCCTTTCCCTCCCCACAACAGACACCCTGTGAGGTCGGTGGGGTTGAGAGAGCTCTGAGAGAACTGCTGATGGGAGAACAGCTCTGAGAGAACTTGTGACTGGCCCAAGGTCACACCAGCAACTGCATTTGCCACAGCCTGAGAGCTCCTATCTATACCTTGTGGCTAATAGCCACTGATGGACCTCTGCTCCAAATGTTTATCCATAAGAACATAAGAGAAGCCAATGTTGGATCAGGCCAATGGCCCATCCAGTCCAACAATCTGTCACACAGTGGCCAGAAATACCAGGTGCCATCAGGAGGTCCAGCAGTGGGGCCAGGACACTAGAAGCCCTCCCACTGTTGCCCACCCCCAAGCACCAAGAAGACAGAGCATCACTTGCCCCAGAGTCCCTATCTATACCTTGTGGCTAATAGCCACTGATGGACCTCTGCTCCATATGCCTATCTAATTCCCTCTTGAAGCCGTCCATGCTTGTAGCCGCCACCACTTCCTGTGGCAGTGAATTCCATGTGTTAATCAGTCTTTGGGTGAAGAAGGACTTCCTTTGATCCGTTCTAACCCGACTGCTCAGCAATTTCATGGTGTGCCCACGAGTTCTTGTCTTGTGAGAAAGGGAGAAAAGGACTTCTTTCTCGACCTGCTCTATCCCATGCATAATCTTATAAACCTCAATCATGTCACCCCTCAGCCGTCGTTTCTCCAAGCTAAAGAGCCCCAAGCGCTTCAACCTTTTTTCCTAGGGAAAGTGTTCCAACCCTTTTATCATCCTAGTTGCCCTTCTCTGCACTTTTTCTTGGCAGCTCTGATGACCGATCCCTGCATAGGATGTCACCCTACAACCAGCGCTTTTCCCCCCCTGGGGAATGCGCCAGAGTGGCCTTCCGGAACCTCTTTGACAAAATTTGTTTAAAGTGTTTAGAAGATCACGAGTTTTCAGTATATAGAAGATTGAACACTTCAGTTCCCTCTTGAGAGTTCCGGCACCTCTTAAAAAAAATAAACAACACCCTACATGCCAATAAAGGTAACTGGACTACTACTACAACAACACCCTGCCCACAAAACTCTGCCCAAGAGTCAATCTCTGCACAAGAACATCAGAAGAGCCCTGCGGGATCTCACATCTGTTTGTTAACTCTTGTAGTTATATGTTAATTTACTGCCATTCACAGATCTTAAGTAAAGGTAAAGGTTCCCTTGCTCGGAAGCCAGTCGAGTCCGACTCTAGGGTTGCGGTGCTCATCTCCCTTTCCAAGCCGAAGAACAAGCGCTGTCCGAAGACGTTTCCGTGGTCATGTGGCCGGCATGACTAAACACCAAGGCGCACGGAACGCTGTTCCCTTCCCACCGAAGTGGTACCTATTTATCTACTTGCAATTTCTTGCTTTCGAACGGCTAGGTTGGCAGGAGCTGGAACTAGAGATGGGACTCTTGGGCACTCCATGAAACTGCTGAGCGGTCGGGTTAGAACGGATAAAAGGAAGTCCTTCACCCAAAGAGTGATTAACACTTGGAATTCACTGCCACAGGAAGTGGTGGCGGCTACAAGCATGGACGGCTTCAAGCGGGAATTAGATAAGCATATGGAGCAGAGGTCCATCAGTGGCTATTAGCCACAAGGGATAGATAGGGACTCTGGGGCAAGTGACGCTCTGTCATCTTGGTGCTTGGGGGGGTCAACAGTGGGAGGGCTTCTAATGTCCTGGACCCACTGGTGGATCTCCTGATGGCACTGGTATTTCTGGCCACTGTGCGATACAGAGTGTTGGACTGGATGGGCCTTTGGCCTGATCCAACATTGGCATCTCTTATGTTCTTATGACCTCACTCCATCATGCGGCACCCGGGTCTCAAACTGCTGAACTACTGACCTTCCACGGCCTGCAGTTCAGCGTCTTAACCACTTGAGCCACCGCAGCTCTTACCAACCGCCTTAATCCAATCTCAGCTATAACTGCCCAGTTAACTTGCGCATCTTGACTAACTAGCCGTTCCTGGAAACTAACCCCCCCCCACCTATATCTAATGGTTGAGGAAGTTTCACTGTATCTGAAGAAGTGTGCTTGCACACGAAAGCTCATACCTGAAAGCTTCAGACGAACACGGCTGCCCCACCTGAATATTTCATACCGAATATAAAGAATAGGAAACTGCCTCCCCTCTTTGAAAAGAAAAATGTAACTACCAGTATATTTATTTTTGTTAAAAAAAGAAATCTGTGCAATGGGTTTTACATAGCATTTGTAATCGAAACAAGAGATGGAAAGGAGAGCAGGAGACCGGGGGGGGGGGGGGCAACTTAAATAACGCAGAACTAAGTGGCCCCAATTCTGCACAAAACGTACACAGCAGACGCTCAAGGGCTGAGGACAAAAAGCGAAATTCTTTGGGACGCTGGCTGTGACGTGATTGTCAAGATGCTTAGAGATTAAGGGGCGGGGGGGGAGTGTCCCTGTGAAATTCAACTTTTGCCCCCCAAAACTTCCACGTGAAAATTTGCAATCTAAGGAACGGAAACTCTTCTCTCCTCTCCAACATCTGTGCTGGTTCTGGAGAGGAAAATTCAAAAGCCTAGATCGGCGGTGGTGCCGAACCCAAGTTTCGGTCTTCCCTCCCTACACTTGTCGAATTATCTTGGCCGTTGTAAGAAGCCCGGGACATCTAGGTATCTGCATCCGTCAGGAGCAGAATCCGCCAGCTCCGGAATATCGGGGAGCCCACCCCACTTCCCAGCAGAGAGAAGAAAGACAGCAACCAGTTACTGATCCTAAGTAAACATCTGTTCGGGGACACATACTCTTGCAAGATAATGTTGGGTGAAAAGCAGTTCGGCAGCCAATACTGTCTTGCGTTTTCCTTCTACACACGTGCGTTAGCGAAGCTGAGGGGTACGGGTGAAAAGCTGGGCTCAGTGATGCCAATGTGGTGGTGGGACACGGGGCCCGGGACGGGAACGTTACCGACTCGGGGCATGCGCGGAAGTCACTGGGGGGCTCGCCTTCCCCCCTTTGTCCCGTTCGACACTGTTCCGATGCAATCGCATGACAGAGCCCCGCAAACTGGTGGCGTCCGAATGATCCTTGGACGACGGCAAGACGGATTTGCTGATGGACAGGTCTTGGGGCTCAGATTCGGATTCCGATGAGCTGGATCTCTCTGATTGGGCGTCTTCAAGGAGGGAACGGGGGACTGAATCCCTTGCTAGGGTAGCGTTGGGCCTGACCTCTGGCCCTGAAAGGCCCTGACCCGATTGCACGGGCTTGTGCGACTGGCTTCCAGCCTCCTTCAGTAGGCTCTGGGTGCCGGATCTGTGGCCCTGGATGACACTCACCTGAGAGGGCAAGATGGCAGCTTTTGCGGGGTTGCCAACCACATGGCTGCTAGCTGCAGACAGGCCTGTTCCACCGGTGTCCCTGGGGGACGATCCCTTGGTGTCTCCTACGGGGAGCATCTCTGCTTCCGGACCCTCTTTCTGGGGACCCCGCTGGGTGGAGGGTAACGAAGTGCAGTCTCCGTAACCCACAGTGACCACAATGACATCAGAGTCTTCCTTTGTACCGGAGGCCTCCTCTTCGCCAGTGGCCTTCTCCGGCAGACAGGAGTCTGGCTCATCTGCCTTCTTCCGGGGTCGCCCCCGCTTCCTCTTCACCGTCGCCGCGTCCGTGGACGACTCCGCCGGCCGCTTGCTGGGCGCTCTGGCTTTCAATGGGTCGGGAAGACTCCATTTGGGCTCGCTGCTCGCCACGCCCCCGCCGCCGGGTGCATTTCTGGGCTTGGCTGGGATCTCGGCCGTAGGGGGCACCGCCACGCCGGGAAGGATCATGTTGATGACCGGCACGGCACTCTGTTGGCTAACCATCGCCCCGGGGCCATTCACAGCAGGCGCCAAGTTCAGAGGCAGCGGGGACGGAGTGGGGCCCACGGACAGGGCCATCTTGACCGTGCCCCCCACGGGGGTGGCCATGAGCTTGGGCTCCAGGACGGGTGGGGAGGAGTGGATGGCCGCCACTCCGGGGGACACCACGAGCCGCTCGACGGGCTGCACTCGGGGCAACAGCAAACGAAGGCGAGCCATCAGGGCGCTCACTTGGGGGGCGATGGGTGGCTTGGCCGCCGCTTCCGCGGCTTTCTTGGAGTCCCGTGGGGGGGCTGCGGGAGGCTTGGAGGGATTCTCTTTCTTGGCCTGAAAAACAAGGCGGACAGGAAAGGGCGGGAGAAAGGCGGCCACAACAGTTCCTGGAGACCTGGCTGACCATCAGGGCTACACGCCGTGCCAAGCCAACAGGTCTGGCATCACACGGGCCCTGCAGTAGACGGGGCCACAGAATCCAAGGAGCGTCACTGTAACACCGACTCCCTCCCCTCTGTCTCCCCCCGTTCTGACCTCCACGCCCCTTTCATCCTCGAGAAAAGAATTCACAGATGTCTGACTCTCGTCCACCTGTCCTCGCTCGCACGCACCCGGGGTCCCCCAACCTTTTTGAGCACACGGTCACCTCGGGAATTCTGGCTCAGGATTGTGGGCGCCAACCACAAAATGGCGGGCGCAACCTTGTACAGTTCCGCAGGGCCTGCAAGACGGAGCTCTTCCGCCAGGCTTATTTATTTATTAGACTTTTACCCCGCCCTCCCGCCAAGACGGCTCAGGGCGGCTTACAATAGTTTAAAACCAACATAACAATTAATACAATATAAGTCTAAAACAATACAGTCAATAAAATATCCAAATACACTTATTAAAATTGAGATTAAGACGTGGCGGCGTTCTGTTATAACGTGCTAGAACCGTCAGTGTGGTCTGAGCTATTGAAACGCTTGCTGGAACAGCTCGGTCTTTACCGCTCTACGGAATTCAAATAGGAGCCACCGCCACCACTGTTACCACCAACTATCCCACTGAACATCTGGAATATGGGACTGGCCCACTATGGACTACGCCATTTAATATCTGGACCATAGGACTGGCCGTAAGATCAGGAAATTGCCGGAATGGAAATTCACGCCATCTATTTCAATACTGCGAGCACTTTAAGGCTATTGTTGTAATGTTAAGAATATTTTATATTATTTGAATGTTTTATGCTAATTCGGCACACTCTGCCATCTTCTGTAAGCCGCCCAGAGCCTGTTTACAGGATGGGCAGGGTATAAATATGAGTATAAATAAACAAATAGATAAAATGGCTGTTGCAGGAGGCGGAGCCAATTGCCCACTGCCAGAGAGTGATGTCACGAATAACTCTAATGGTAACCCTTCCACATTCAGGCAGAAGCTGTGCTTTGGGGGGGGGTGCTTTTAAAAATTAACATATTGCTTAAAAATATTTTCTTCACCCACAGCCACACAATGAAGATCTTTGTGCCGTGCTGGCAGCTGCTGCCAAAACCAGTTTTTATTTTATTTATTTATTTTATTGCATTTATACCCCGCCCTCCCCGTGAACAGGCTCAGGGCGGCTCACATAGGGCACTAAGTGCATTCAATATACAAAATTACATAATACAAATACAGATTTAAAACAGATTAAAATCAATTCAACGGATGCACATGAAGAAGACTCCTAACATCTTGCGTAGCAGCGGGGCAAGGCTGGGGTGATGGAAAGATGTTGCCCAATCCCCCCAGTGGTCTCTCTCTAAAAAGGCGCGGTGGTGTAAGTGGCCGTGGCGGCTCCTACTCATAAGCCTGGCGGAAGAGCTCCGTCTTGCAGGCCCTACGGAACTGCACAAGGTCCCGCAGGGCCCTGATCTCCTCCGGGAGCTCATTCCACCAGGTAGGAGCCGCCACTGAGAAAGACCTGGCACTGGTTGCCACAAGCTTGGCCTCCTTAGGGCCCGGGGTCACCAGCCGGTGTTGTGACCCCGACCGAAGTGCTTTTTGGGGAATATGTGGGGAAATGCGGTCCCTCAGGTAAGTCGGACCCTGGCCATGTAGGGCTTTAAAGGTAAGCACCAGCACTTTGAAGTGAATCCGGTATGCTATAGGCAGCCAGTGCAGTACTCCGGATTTGCGACAAAGGCAGCCCCATGTAGAGAGCGTTGCAGTAGTCTAGCCTTGAGGTGACCGTCGCATGGATCACTGTAGCTAGGTCATTGCGGTCAAGGAAAGGAACCAACTGTCGTATCAGCCGAAGATGATAAAAGGCTGATTTGGCAGTGGCCGCCACCTGCATCTGCAATGCCAATCAGATCTCCAGTGGCCAATCAGAAGCGCTGCGGGGCAAAAGCCCCACCGGGTCCCGCCCACTTTCTAAAAACACATGGTGGGTGCCAGGAAATGGACGCCATGTTAGGGGCCCCTGTACTAACACAATTCCCCGAGTCCTTCTCAGCCCTGTCTCCCCAGACCACGCAGTCTATCTTTGGGGACAAGCCAAAAAGATCTCGCTCCTGACAAATTTGCACATGGCAGCCACATCGTACACAGCAGCCCTTCAATTGCCACATGGGTCCTTTCTCCACCCCCAAACGGCGGCTACTTCCAGCTTCCAGCTCTTCTTTTTTCTGTCTCTCACCTGAGGCAGTGGTTTGGCTGCATTCTCCTGGGCTTCGGACTCGTTCTTCTTTGTGCTCGGCGGCAGTCGTTTTTCCCTGGGGGGTTCTGCAGTTTCTGCAACCAGAGAGGCTGAATCAAGAGACCCTTCTCAGACCCAAGAAGAAGAGGAGATGGGATTTATACCCCGCCCTTCACTCGGAATCTCAGAGCAGCTTACAAACTCCTTTCCCTTCCCCTCCCCACAACAGACACCCTGTGAGGTAGGTGGGGCTGAGAGAGCTCTTTCGAGGACTGCTCTTTTTTCAAGGACAGCTCTGACAGAACTAAGGCTTGCCCAAGGTCATCCAGCAGCTGCAAGTGGAGGAGTGGGGAATCAAACCCGGTTCTCCCAGATCAGAATCCGCGCACTTAACCACTACACCAAACTGGCTCTCACACCAAACCACCATTCACATCCAACCTCTTCTTCTTCACTACCCAAAGGAGTCTCAGAGCGGCTCACAATCTCCTTTCCCTTCCCCTCCCCACAACAGACAACCTGTGAGGTAGGTGGGGCTGAGAGAGGGTCACACCAGCAGCTGCATGTGGAGGAGTGGGGAATCAGACCCGGTCCTCCCAGATTAGAGTCCATGCTCTTAAAGAGAGAAGAGATTGGATTTATACCCCACCCTTCACTACCAGAAGGAGTCTCAGAGTGGCTTACGAAGACCTTTCCCTTCCCCTCCCCACAACAGACACACCCTGTGAGGTGGGTGGGGCTGAGAGAGCTCTGACAGAAACTGCTCTTTTTCAAGAACAGCTCTGACAGAACTATGGCTTGCCCAAGGTCATCCAACAGGTGCAAATAGAGGAGTGGGGAATCAAACCTGGTTCTCCCAGATTGGAGTCCACACACTTAACTACGACACCAAACTGGTGAGGAGGAGGAGAAGGAAGAAGAGAAGAGGAGATTGGATTTATACCCCACCCTTCACTACCCAAAGGTGTCTCAGAGCGGCTTACAAACTCCTTCCCCCCCCCTCCTCACAACAGACACACCCTGTGGGGTAGGTGGGGCTGAGAGAGCTCTGACAGAAACTGCTCTTTTCCAAGAACAGCTGTGCTAGAATTATGGCTTGCCCAAGGTCCTCCAGCAGCTGCAAGTGGAGGAGTGGGGAATCAAACCTGGTTCTCCCAGATCAGAGTCCGCGCACTTAACCACTACACCAAACTGGCTCTCCTGGCTCACAGGGTGTCTGTTGTGGGGAGGTAGACCCAGAGGAGTAAGCCGTGTTAGTCTGTTGCTGGAAAATACTAAAAAGCCCAGTGGCACCTTTAAGACTAACAAACTTTATTGTAGCATAAGCTTTCGTGAAACACAGCTCTCTTCATCAGACACATCTACAGGGTATAGATGGAACATTCAGTCTGGGGCAGTGATGCTCTGTCTTCTTGGTGCTTGGGGGGGGCAAGAGTGGGAGGGGGCTTCTGGAGTTCTGGCCCCGCTGCTGGACCTCCTGGTGACCCCTGGGTTTTGTCTACTGTGTGGCACAGAGTGTTGGACTGGATGGGCCATTGGCCTGACCCAACACGGCTTCTCTTATGTTCTTCTGTCTGGGGCAGTGATGCTCTGTCTTCTTGGTGTTTGGGGGGCAAGAGTGGGAGGGCTTCTGGAGTTCTGGCCCCGCTGGTGGACCTCCTGAGGGCCCCTGCTCTATTTGGCCACTGTTTAACCCAGAGTGTTGGACTGGAGGGGCCATTGGCCTGACCCAACATACCGCTTCTCTTATATTGTTATGGCCGGCAGTTTCTATATAACAGAGCCTTTTGATGGACGAGAACGTCCCTTTCTTATCCTTATCCACACCTATCTTACCCTTGCTGCCTGACGATACTTGTTATACGCTGTGGAACATCCCGCTTTGGCCAAGCGAACTGCCAGAATTAAGTAAGCCATCAGCTAGTTCACGTGTTTATTCTTCTGCGCATTAACGCTTCACTCTGAACTATACGGTCTGTTTTTTAAAAACTTACCTTGAATTTCATCAGTGCACCTTTTTTCACTTAATTGTGCGTTGCGTCACTGGGGAGTGACTCAAACCAAACCCGGGACAAGCTTGGCTACTTTAGGTCCCCAACAGGTGCCCAAAGGCCTGAGGGCAGAGGTTATTTCGGGGGGGGATCGCAGTTCCCCCGGGTGAGGTACGGGGGGCGGGGCACATGACGAAGCCCCGCCCCCTGCTTCCGGCCGCCCCGCTTCCGGCCCTCATTCAGCCAGGAGGAGGCAGGAGAAGAGGGAGGGTAAGTTGCTTCCTCCCTGCCTCTCCCCACCTCTGCCTGCCTTGGGCCAGGGAGGGCCTTCGCGGGGCTTACTTGCACTCCCGCCGGCCTTGCAGGTCCACCGCCGGGCCCCTCATGGGGCTCGGCAGTGGAGCTGCAAGGCCGGCGGCAGCGCCCGGTACCGTTGGGGGTGGGGGGTGTGGCCTTATGACACACTTCCGGTGATGTCAGGGGGTGTGGCCTTATGACACACTTCCGGTGATGCCAGGGGGTGTGGCATATGCTAATGAGTTACGCTAATGAGTTCCCCTGGCTCTTTTTCTACGAAACGACCCCTGCCTGAGGGGGAAGGATTCGCCCACCTGAGACCACCATCGCCATGACCAGGTCGGCGTGGGCCGAGCGGGGGTTGATGATGTGCTGCTGGATGAGAAACTGGGCCACCTCCACGATGTTGTTGAAGGTCCGCTTGAGGATCTTCTCGGCCCAGTCGCACGTCAGGGCGCAGGCGGCGTCCATCACTTCGTCGTTGTAGGTCGGCACGAGGTCAGCCCTTTCAGTCTGTACGGGACAGAGAGCCAGGGGGAATCACTGAAGGTATCCATAGCCGTAAACGATCACAGATCAGCATGGAGACTCCATGCTCAGAGGCAATGGACCTCTGTATATTAGCTGTTGTAGATTTTCCGGGTTGTCTGGCCGCGGTCTTGGCATCGTAGGGCCTGACGTTTCGCCACTAGCTGAGACTGGCATCCTCAGAGGTATAACACAGGAAGATGGCGTCCTCTCTGTGTCTAGGTGAGAAGGAAGATGGTAGGCAGGTAATTTATATCTACTCAGGAAGGTGGGGTAGGGCTGAGACATTATCTTGTAGGAGTTCCCCAGACTGTGAACTCCCTACAAGATAACTCCTACAGGAACTCCTACAAGATAATGTCTCAGCCCTACCCCACCTTCCTGAGTAGATATAAATTACCTGCCTACCATCTTCCTTCTAACCCTGGCACAGAGAGTACTCCATCTTTCTATGTTATCACAGAATCACAGAATGTCAGAGTTGGAAGGGGCCTTGCAGGTCATCTAGTCCAACCCCCTGCACTCTGCAGGAGCACAGCCGAAAGACAGCCCTACAACATACCCGAGAGATGGTCGTCCAGCCTCCGCTTGGAAACGTCCAGCGAAGGAGCATCCACCCCCTCCTGAAGCAGTCCGTTCCACTGCTCAACCACTCTTACAGTTAGGAAGTTTCTCCAGATATTTAGCCGGTATTGACTCCCTTGTCATTTCCACCCATTAGATCTAGTCTTGCAATCCAGAGCAAGAGAGAATAGATCTGCTCCATCTTCTACATGACAGCCCTTCAGATACCTGAAGATGGCAATCATGTCCCCTCTAAGCCTTCTCTTTCTCAGGCCTTCTCTTTCTTTCAGCCTTTCCTCCTAAGACTCGGATTCCAACCCTCTCACCATCCTGGTTGCCCTCTTCTGGACACGCTCGAGCTTGTCAACATCCTTATACCTCTGAGGGTGCTGGCGAAACATCAGGTCCTACAATGCCAAGACCATGGCCACACAGCCCGGAAAATCAACAACAGCTAATGAACTCCGGCCTTGAAAGCCTTCGACAACATATTGTACCTCGGTATACCTGGTACAGGGGACGGCTTCTGCCTTGCTGGCTAGCTGGGGGCCTTCGATTAGAGGCCTCCGGTTGGCCACTGGGCAAAACAGGATGCCGGAACAGATGATCTCTTGGTCTAATCCAAGGAGGGACTGCTTATGCTCTTAAACACACAGAGGCACGGCAGATGAGCCGGCAAGGTCATTCTGCCTCAGGTTTTTAGTTCTTAGGCACATAAATGCAAAAGCACAGATAGCAAGCCACCATAGGGAGAGGAAGGATCTGTGGCTCAGTGGCAGAGCATCAGCTTGGCATGCAGAAGGTCCTAGGTTCAATCCCCGGCGTCTCCAGTTAAAAAGGACCAGGCAGGAGGTGATGGGAAAGACCTCCGCCTGAGACCCTGGAGAGCTGCAAAGAGGGGCCGTGGCTCAGTGGAAGAGCCTCTGCTTGGCATGCAGAAGGTCCCAGGTTCAATCCCCGGCATCTCCAGTTAAAAAGGACCAGGCAGGAGGTGATGGGAAAGACCTCCGCCTGAGACCCTGGAGAGCTGTAAAGAGGGGCTGTGGCTCAGTGGAAGAGCCTCTGCTTGGCATGCAGAAGGTCCCAGGTTCAATCCCCGGCATCTCCAGTCAAAAGGACCAGGCAGGAGATGATGGGACAGTCCTCAGCCTGAGACCCTGGAGAGCTGTCAAGAGGGGCTGTGGCTCAGTGGCAGAGCTTCTGCTTGGCGTGCAGGAGGTCCCAGGTTCAATCCCTGGCAGCATCTCCAGTTAAAAAGGACCAGGCCGCCTGAGACCCTGGAAAGCCACTGCCAGCCTGAGTAGACAATACTAGGGGCATGCATTCAAATCTTCCCGAGCAGAAAATATAGTTCAAAAGTAACCAGGATTGTTTTGGGGAAACCAGAGGCGGGGGGAAACCTGAAATTTTGGGGGAACTGGGAAAACTCCCCGCTCCCTCTGATGTAAAAGGACTGCAAAAAAATCGAGGAAAATAGCTGAGAGGCTGGGAGACTGCTCCGGGCCTCTCGGTTGTTTCCCCTGCTTCTTCTGCAGTCCCTTTAAACCAGCTTGGTTTAAAGGGAATGTAGAAAAAAATCGGGGAAACAGCTGGAGGCTGGGAGATGGCTCTGGGCCTCTCGGTCGTTTCCCCCGCTTCTTTTTCAATCACTTTAAACCAGCCTGGTTTAAAGGGACTACAGAAAATATCATGGAAAACAGTTGAGAGGCTAGGAGTTGTTTCCTCCACCACTTAGCTGTGTTTTGCTGCTCCTGTGTGTTGTCCCCCGCCCCTCGGGTTTGTTTGTTTTTAATCTCAGCTCTATTGGACCAGAATAAATTTAGGATTTTAGAAAAATCCTGGATCCAAATACTTTCCCACTACTGGGATCAAGGACTTTTTGGAAATCCTGAGATTTTGGGGGGGGGGTGTTTCCAACAGACCTGAAAAGAAAAAAGGAGAGAAAGCTGCACACCCCTAATGCTCCCTCTGAGCAGTGGAGTCTGGTGAGCAGAAATCCTACTCTGTGAGCTCCTGGCACTAAAGTTGTGAGCGAGCGATTTGGCTACTGCATAAATCAGTTTGCTCTGGAGCCCTCCTTCCTGAGCTAAGACAGAAATATGTGAGCCAGAGGCTAAAAAACTGTGAGCTAGCTCACACTGACTCAGCTTAGAGGGAACACTGCTCTGGAGCCCTCCTTCCTGAGCTAAGACAAAAATGTGTGAGCCGGAGGCTAAAAAAGTGCCAGCTAGCTCACACTCACTCAGCTTAGAGGGAACACTGCTCTGGAACCCTCCTTCCTGAGCTAAGACAGAAATGTGTGAGCTGGAGGCTAAAAAACTGTTGAGCTAGCTCACACTGACTCAGCTTAGAGGGAACACTGCTCTGGAGCCCTCCTTCCTGAGCTAAGACAAAACTGTGTGAGCCGGAGGCTAAAAAACTGTGAGCTAGCTCACACCGACTCAGCTTAGAGGGAACACTGCTCTGGAGCCCTCCTTCCTGAGCTAAGACAAAACTGTGTGAGCCGGAGGCTAAAAAACTGTGAGCTAGCTCACACCGACTCAGCTTAGAGGGAACACTGCTCTGGAGTCCTCCTTCCTGAGCTAAGACAGAAATCTGTGAGCTGGAGGTTAAAAAACTGCCAGCTAGCTCACACTAACTCAGCTTAGAGGGAACACTGCAATACGGACCTCGATGAACCAAGGGTCTGATTCAGTATAAGGAAGTTTCGCGTGCATGTTCAGCACCGCTCTGGGGCTTACCGTCTCGGTTTCTTTAAGATCTAAGCTGGGAAGAGGAGGCATGTGGACCACCGTCTTTCTCCGAATCCCGCTGTAGCAATACGTTGGAGTAGAGTTAAGGAGATCATCCAAACACCAAATATTCCTTAATCTGATTACGGGCACGAAACGGAGTTCTTCCGACAGGCTTTCGAGTAGGAGCCGCCGCCGCCACTGTTCCATCAATGCGCCGCCGCCGAAAACTGGCAGAGATACCATCAGGGTGCAAGCGGGCCCTGGGTATCTGCCGCTTTGGAACTTACGTTGTTGGTCCAGATCCACCCTACCGGAACCCATCTTGGAACTGGGAACATCAGAGCACCAGCACTTTGCTGTACTATTGTTATGTTTTTATCTTGTTTCAGTTGTTTTAATTATGAGCCTTAGGGGAGGGCGGGATATAAATCGAATTATAAATAAATAAATTATAGACTCCTCCCATCAAAATGAATGCGAATTTTATAATCCACTTAACATCTGGTATCCAATTTGGGACAAAATAGATCTAGAAAAATTTGATGGGGAGAATATCTCGGAAGCAAAATATAAAATAATGTTGTTTAATTAAATATTTGTCACTTGCTTTTGTTAATATTGTTTTATATTAATATATCACAATCGTAATTATCTACAAGTTATATTGGTAACTGCACCTAGAACTGTTCAGTCAGCTGCTAACCAAAATATTGTTTTTTGATTACTATTATATTTAGCCAATGCAAAGTCTTGACTATTTGTTTTATTCTCTAAGTTCCTACCTACCACTATCTTTATTCAAACAGTTTGTATTTACAATGTATCATATTAAAAGTTAATAAATTTTCTATTTAAAAATAAATAAATACATTATAAATAAAATAAAAAGAGGGGAACAGAACCAACAGCCTCCCGCATCCAGAGAGAGGACTGGTCACAGTACCGAGTCCAGAAACCTGGCAGACGACACGTCGTTCACCTTTCGGCTGTCCCAACACCCCCCCCCCAAGTTTCATCACAACCCTTCCAAGTCCCCCGCTGACTCCAAGCGCGAAAGGATATTTCGACTGTCCGCGGCCGCCCAGCCTCCTCGCCTTGATGTTCGGGAAGATCTCCCGGATGATCTTGCCGAAATTCGCCGCACTCAGAGAGCGGCTGCAAAGGTTATCACAGTGCCTCCTGCAGAGGGGAGGGGGGGAAAGGTTATCATACTCCCCAGCCCGTGCCACACTACAGGGGTCCCCCAGCGTTCTTGAGCCTGTGGGCACGTCTGGAACTCTGACACAGCGCGGTGGGGGCAGCCACAGAACGGCCGCCGTAGAAGAAGAAGAAGAGATTGGATTTATACCCCGCCCTTCACTACCCAAAGGTGTCTCAGAGCGGCTGACAATCTCCTTTCCCTTCCCCTCCCCACAACAGACACCCTGTGAGGTAAAGGAAAAAGAAGAAGAGATTGGATTTATACCCCCCCTTACTACCCAAAGGTGTCTCAGAGCGGCTGACAAACTCCTTTCCCTTCCCCTCCCCTCCACAGACACCCTGTAAGGTAGGTGGGGCTGAGAGAGCTCTGAGAGAAACGGCTCTTTTTCAACAGCTCTTATCAGAACTAAGGCTTGCCCAAGGTCATCCAGCAGCTGCAAGTGGAGGAGTGGGGAATCAAACCCAGCTCTCCCAGATTAGAGTCCGCGCACTTCACCACGACACCAAACTGGCTCTCAAGTGACATAGAAGAAGAAGAGAAGAGATTGGATTTATACCCCGCCCTTCACTACCCAAAGGAGTCTCAGAGCGGCTTACAAACTCCTTTCCCTTCCCCTCCCCACAACAGACACCCTGTGAGGTAAAAGAAGAAGAAGAAGATATTGGATTTATACCCTGCCCTTCACTACCCAAAGGTGTCTCAGAGCGGCTTACAAATTCCTTTCCCTTCCCCTCCCCACAACAGACACCCTGTGAGGTAGGTGGAGCTGAGAGAGCTCGTGAAAGAAACTGCTCTTTTTCAAGGACAGCTCGTCAGAACTACGGCTTGCCCAAGGTCATCCAGCCAGGTGCGAGTGGAGGAGCGGGGAATCGAACCCAGTTCTCCCAGATTAGAGTCCGTGCACTTAACCACTACACAAGACTGGCTCTTCACTGTTGTGAAATGGCAAAATCCACTTGAAAACGGTCAGTGAAGTAGATCGAAACTACATTATTTAGAAGAAGAAGAGAAGAGATTGGATTTATACCCCGCCCTTCACTACCCAAAGGAGTTACAAACTCCTCTCCCTTCCCCTCCCCACAACAGACACCCTGTGAGGCAGGTGGGGCTGAGAGAGCTCTTGACAGAAATTGCTCTTTTTTCAAGAACAGCTCTTATCAGAACTACGGCTTTGCCCAAGGTCATCCAGCAGCTGCAAGTGGAGGAGTGGGGAATCAAATCCGGTTTTCCCAGATTAGAGTCTGCGCACTTCACCACGACACCGAACTGGTGGAGCCGGACACAAAATGGCCGCTACAGCTCACCTTCAGTCAACAGCGTGTTGCGGGGGGGGGGGGGGGCAGCCGCTGCCAAAGCAACGGTCTAAAAAAAATATATCAGTGCAGCCAATCAAATCTGCAACGGCCAATTGAAAGTCCCACAGAGCAAAAGCCGTAGCTGGCCCCACCCACTTCCTAAAAGCATTTGTGGGCACCAGGAAAGGCGTCGACAGGAACCGTGGCACCCACAGGCGCTACGCAGAACAGCACAGGGAATGGGATTGGATCTCCCCACCCACCCACCCACCGATCACCCTTTCCCCGGAAAAAGAGTGATTAACACATGGAACTCACTGTCACAGGAAGTGGTGGCGGCTACAAGCACAGACGGCTTCAAGAGGGAATTAGATAAGTATATGGAGCAGAGGTCCATCAGTGGCTATTAGCCACAAGGTATAGATAGGGGCTTTGGGGCAAGTGATGCTCTGTCTTCTTGGTGCCTGGGGGGGGGGTCAACAGTGGGAGGGCTTCTAGTGTCCTGGCCCCACTGGTGGACCTCCTGAGGGCCCCTGGTATTTCTGGCCACTATGTGACACAGTGTTGGACCAGATGGGCCATTGGCCTGATCCAACATTGGCGTCTCTTATATTCTTATGTTCTTAAGTGACCATTTCAGAAAGAAAAGTACCCCAGGGAATGCCCACCATCTCCCCGAAAACACACTCACTTGTAGGCATCGTACACGTCCTGTTTCGGCAAGCAGGTGTCCGGGTACTCCTCCAAGTGATTCCGGATCCAGGTGCAGGCGTGCATGTGTTCAACCGAGCTCAGCGAAGCGAGATCCAGGCTGCCGGGCCCAAGAGGGAGGGTTACTGCCTTGGGGCGGTGGATCCACAACTCTAATGCCACACCCACTTCCCCACCAGCACGGCAGACGGAATCTCTCCACGTGGGCCCGAGTGCTGGCAAACTGCACTCCTCCATTGCGCGTTCGAGGGCGTCTTTTAAACAAATGGCCTCGTCTCTCAGAGGCTAACCGATGGTCAATGAGAATGCCCTTTACTGCAGCTGAAAGACTCGTATGACAAGACTGGAAAGATAAAAGCCCACCTCTGGCAAATCCTCTGGAAAGCCTTAGAACTTTATCATATGTGAATGCATGGCACAGCACATAGATGGCAATTGTGTATGGATTTATTTCTAGACTAGAAATAAGGCCCGTTGTGGAAATAAATACAACGGGATCTAGAAAGAGGCTCTGGGAGAGTGCTCTGGCTTTGGGCAAACAGTGTCAGTCTGCTTTTAAAACATGAACCTGGGACCTGCACACCACCAGAATACAGCAGGTTCCATATGCAACTGACATTCCAACTGCCTTGCGGGGGGGGGGGGAGTTTGAGGTGTGGAATGGAGTGAAGTCCAATCAGCTTCCATATGCAAAAGACCAGGTTGTCGCAGCAGTTGTGGTGTGGGCGGGACCCGGGCTTTGGCTTCTGATTGGTGGCGATATATGCTGAGGAGCAGTGCCATCAGCCATACACTAAGGGAGTGCATTTTAGAATTAGAACTTTGGCACCCACTATTCAATTATATATAAGGAGAGAAGATATCTGGAAGCCGTTTATAGACGCTTACGTTTAGATCTGGTGTTATAGTTCTGTCTGTATGTGTGTGTGTGTGGGTGTGTGTGTGTGTGGGTGTGTGTGGGTGTGTATATAAATATATATATATAAAAAAATCTTATATAGTGGCTGGATTTGAAGGGTTTTTTACCCCTTGTTATTTTTATTTTTTGGGGGGGTTGTTTTTCATATGTGTGTGTGACTGTGCACACCTGAAATTCATGGTGACCTCTGGGGACTGACCCCTACTGGGGGCCTGGAGGATAGTCAGGGAGGTGGCTGGATAAAGCCTGCCCCCGGCTCCCGCCTCTGGTATTCCAAGGAGGCCTCCCATCCAAGGTCTTGACAGAGTTGACCCTGCTTAGCTGACGAGATCGGACAAGATCGGGTTTATGCTGATTGGGTTTTATGCAGATGTGAATTCTCTTTGAATAAAAAAATTAGAAATGTCCCCCCCCCCCAGCAACCCCCGGGGATTTGCAAGCTTTCCAGCCGGACTCCATTACTTACCTTTTCTCTCCCGAACTCGGGCCAGAAGGCAGCTGGAGGTAGAGGTAAAGCTTGGCGTAATCCGAAAACTTCTGGACGTCTTGCTGTTATCGAGAATGAAGACAAAAGTTTACATTCCTAACTTGGTTCGCAAACGGGAAACAAGTCAATCCTACCGGACGGATTTCAGCTGAACCAATGAAGTTGCCTTACACTGAACCAGCTCGCTGATCTATCCAGCCCAGCATCAGAAGAACATAATTATGAACATAATTTGTCGCTATGTTGTTATTGTTGTGGTTTCCTAATAGTATGTGTGTGATGACCCCTTTACTGGGGAGGTCTGGTTTCCCTTTAAAAGTGTACTTTATGTTTTTCTCTACTGGGTAATCCGGCTGCCACCAGGAAATTTAAGGCTTTCCAAACCTTTATAATATAATATTCATCACTGGGTAGGTATATCGAGGGTTTAAGCTTTCGAGGAACTATGTGGTCTGAGGAAGGATTCTTTCCAGAGCTGGTATACTTGAATGAAATAGGATTTATTTAAAGAAAGCATAAATACGAGGGTAGAACCATGTAACTAGTAAAGTAGGTATAACACACAGTCTGCTCCCTACTGACAGGGATTTTTCCTTAGGTAACTTTGTAACACTTTTTCCTTCAGGCCATATACGGTTACTGTTTCTTTCAACTTTTCATAACACACACAAGGTCTCTCCTTCAGACCCCAGAACTAGACTCATCCCACACAGGGATGGGTCTCACTCCTCTCATACACAGAACTTCTGCTTCTCTCACAGAAATCAGAACTTAACTGATCTTCATCAACTGTCATATCTAACTGACCCTCTTGATAGACATTCAAATCCTCCACACTGCATCCATTCCAAAACCCCTCCCCCTCTCTGTCACTCACCAATCATATCACTTGCCTGATTCCAGCACTCTAGATTATCATCACAGCCATGCAAACCAAACTTTTAAAGCCACACACACACAGTTAAACATGAAATCATTACAATGTACTACTGCAAATTGTTGTTATATTAGATAAACAAAAGATAAACAAAAGACGGAGCTCTTCCGCCAGGCTTTCGAGTAGGAGCCGCCCCTACCATTACCACTATTACTACCATTACCATCATTGGTGGACCGGAGGGGTGGCCCCATAAAGATCAACCATGACATTGCTGTGGTAGGTACCGCTGGATGGGGCCGAGTAACAACCATGGGTATTTAACCCCCCTATTGTTATGTTAGATTCTGAGGAGTCCCATCTTGTAAAATTGATTCCCTCTTGTTAGATTTTGACTGTAACCACTGAGCACTTTAATGTTGATTGTTTTATCCTGTTTGTGTGCTGTTTTATGTTTTGGCACATGGGGCCCTATTGTCATCCGCCCTGAGCCCGCTTGCGGGGAGGGCAGGGTAAGGTAAAGGTAAAGGTTCCCTTGCTCGAAAGCCAGTCGAGTCCAACTCTAGGGTTGCGGTGCTCATCTCCGTTTCAAAGCCGAAGAGCCAGCGCTGTCCGAAGACGTTTCCGTGGTCATGTGGCCGGCATGACTAAACACCAAGGCGCACAGAACGCTGTTACCTTCCCACCGAAGTGGTACCTATTTATCTACTTGCCATTTCTTGCTTTCGAACTGCTAGGTTGGCAGGAGCTGGAACTAGAGACGGGAGCTCACTCCGTCTTGCGGCAATTCTACCTCGGAGGGCAAGGTAGAAATGCGATAATACAAAATAAAATAATAAAAATTATGGGGGGAAAGGGAAAGCGAAGAATGTCTCGCATGCGCAAGCGGGGGGGGGGGGTTCAGTGTATCGGGCCTGTAAGTGCAGTACTGAGCTCCACCTAACCTACTCACCAGTATGCCGTCAACTTTGCTCTGGACGGATTTCCTGTTCAGGGCAAGAGAAGGAAAAACGTTTGTTAACCTCTCGGAAGTTTCGTTTCTCCCATCTCCGAATCGGGCTTCCGCTTGGACCCTCCTTTGCTTCCGCCCAGCGGGCGCTTTGGTCTCCCCGGATCCTCTCCTGCCCCGGCTGCCCCCCCCCCCCCAGCATTACAAAGAGAGGAGGAGGGAAGGCACTGCTCAAACCCTAGACCCAGAAAAAAGTGCAGAAAAGGGCAACTTGAATGATAAAAGGGTTGGAACACTTTCCCTATGAGGAAAGGTTAAGGCGCTTAGGGCTCTTTCGCTTGGAGAAACGACGACTGAGGGGTGACATGATCGAGGTTTATAAGATTATGCATGGGAAAGAGCAGGTAGAGAAAGAGGTACTTTTCTCCCTTTCTCACAATACAAGAACTCGTGGGCACTCCATGAAACTGCTGAGTGTTTGGGTTAGAACAGATAAAAGGAAGTACTTCTTCACCCAAAGACTGATTCACACATGGAATTCACTGCCACAGGAAGTGGTGGCGGCTACAAGCATGGACAGCTTCAAAAGGGAATTAGATAAGCATATGGAGCAGAGGTCCATCAGTGGCTATTAGCCACAAGGTATAGATAGGGGCTCTGGGGCAAGGGATGCTCTGTCTTCTTGGAGCTTGGGGGGGGGGTCAACAGTGGGAGGACTTCTAATGTCCTGGCCCCACTGCTGGACCTCCTGAGGGCACCTGGTATTTCTGGCCACCGTGTGACACAGAGTGTTGGACTGGATGGGCCTTTGGCCTGATCCAACATTGGCGTCTCTTATGTTCTTATGTTCTTAAACCCAGCCCTTACGAGATGGCGCCTTTCAGCTTGTGCAGCAGTGTACTCGGCTCCGCAGGTGCGCCCTGGGAATCCACCTCCAAGGCCTCGCTCTCGTTTTCGGCGATCTCAGCTAACAGCTCGTTGTCGTCGGCCATGGCATCGGGTGCCCTGCTTTGAGACGGGAAACACAGAATCGTAGCACGAGCCCTGCTCGCTTACTCCACAAAACGTCCCAAGTAATTAAAAAAAAAAATTACTTCTCTTTACCCCTACATTTTGGCTTCCCCTCTGTTTGTGGCTCCGCCTTCTGCAGCAGCCATGTTATAATTGGCCCCGCCTCCTGTGGCAGCCCTATTGTGGCTATGCCTAAAGCTGTGTGTCAGAATTCCAAAGGTACCCACAGGCTCAAAACAGCTGGGGAGACCCTGCAACAAACCAACTCTGGGAGTGCACAAACATTTATTTTACTGTGTTTAATGTTTTTACTGTTTTCTCATGTTTTATATTCATCTCTATGTATTGTACTTTACTGTTTTGTACTGTTGTAAACCGCCCAGAGAGCTTCTGCTGTGGGTGGTATCAAGAAGAAGAAGAGAAGAGATTGGATTTATATCCCGCCCTTCACTACCCAAGGGAGTCTCAGAGCAGCTTACAAACTCCTTTCCCTTCCCCTCCCCACAACAGACACCCTTGTGAGGTAGGTGGGGCTGAGAGAGCTCTGACAGAAACCGCTTTTCAAGAACAGCTCTTGTCAGAACTACGACTTGCCCGAGGTCATCCAGCCAGGTGCGAGTGGAGGAGTGGGGAATCAAACCCGGTTCTCCCAGATAAGAGTCCGCGCACTTAACCACTACACCAAACTGGAGTGATTAACCACTACCCAGCAGGGCTCTTCTGCAGTTCTTTTGAAAGTCACAACTCCCTCATGGGAACTTTACACGGGAGGGCGTGTCAATTAATATGCTCCAGGACTTCATACCCCAAATCCCTAACCTCCCTTCCTCAGATCACTAGTCCTTGCACCCTTCCGAGAGCACCAGATAACCCCAACAAATTTAAGAATTGTTCAGAGAGACATGCCAAAGTTTCCACCGCTCCAAATGTTTCCTCTGCTCCAAATGTTTCCTTTCCTGATGTGAAAACTTTGTAACTTCCAACATTAACTGTTTTCCATGCTTGTTGCGTTAGCCGCCCCGTGGGCTGCTTCCGTCAAAAGACAGGGGTCTAAATATTTTAATAAGTGGTTGTGTTGACAACTGCAGGAAGCAGGGCCTTTTCTGTTGCAGCCCCCCTAGCGCCAGAGCCACCTCGCCCAGGAAACTTATACCTGCCGTTCCCTGGATAGTTTCCTTCTTGCTGTCTTTGCCAGCGGCCGGTTAAGAAATCGGGTGGGATCCCAGGATCCCATAGATCCGTCCCACTAATGGCAGCATCTTCTATCTGGCACAAGTAGTGTCGAGGAGGATCCTTGCCCAAGGGGAATGCGCCAATGGATCCGCCAGATCCAACCAAGTTTTTCCTCCACGTACCTTCTTGGCGGCTTTTGTCATGAGTCTCAATTTGCATTTTAGGTCCTTGTTCTTAAAATGTTAACCCTGCCTGATGCTTAAAAGAATTTTTAGAGACTGCTTGGAAGTTCAACTGGAAAGCCTTAAGATTAATAACTTCCCTTGGCATTTTTTTTTTTAAAAAATAGAGGCACCAGAGCTGACGCATATCTAAAAGGCAAACCCTCCTCCCTGGAACCTCTGCTGTTTGTGTATGTGAGCACTTTGTACATGCCCGGAAGCAGTCCGCTCTTCATAGATCTTCCATATGCTGGAGATTTAAATGGTGAACTCTTCGGGATGGGAATGGCTGCCTCCCCATGACTCTGGGAAACATCACGGTACGTTGGCAATGCTGGAATCATATAACAGACAGACAGACAGTTTGGTGTCATGGTTAAGTGCGTGGACTCTAATCTGGGAGAACCGGGTTTGATTCCCCACTCCTCCACTTGCACCTGGCTGGATGACCTTGGGCAAGTCGTAGTTCTGACAAGAGCTGTTCTTGAAAAAGAGCAGTTTCCGTCAGAGCTCTCTCAGCCCCGCCTACCTCACAGGGTGTCTGTTGTGGGGAGGGGAAGGGAAAGGAGTTTGTAAGCCGCTCTGAGACACCTTTGGGTAGTGAAGGGCAGGGTATAAATGCAATCTGTTCTTCTTCTTCTACGTCACTTGAGAGCCAGTTTGGTGTAGTGGTTAAGTGCACGGACTCTAATCTGGGAGAACCGGGTTTGATTCCCCACTCCTCCACTTGCACCTGGCTGGATGACCTTGGGCAAGTCGTAGTTCTGACAAGAGCTGTTCTTGAAAAAGAGCCGTTTCTGTCAGAGCTCTCTCAGCCCCACCGACCTCACAGGGTGTCTGTTGTGGGGAGGGGAAGGAGTTTGTAAGCCGCTCTGAGGCTCCTTTGGGTAGTGAAGGGCTGGGTGTAAATCCAATCTCTTCTTCTTCTTCTCAAATAACACTGCTAAAATTGTTTAAAAGCTTCTGCCGCTCCCTGAATACTAAGCCCCAAATTCCCCTTAGGTTGCCAGCTTCCTTTTCCTAGCCAAGCTCCGGTGACTTTTAAGAGACCTCCAGCTCCTGAACTTAGAATCTTAAGAGTTGGAAGGGACCTCAAGGGTCATCTAGTCCAACCCCCTGCACATGGCAGGGAATTCACAAATACCTGCCCCCTCCAAAACCCCAGTGACCCCTGCTCCATGCCCAGATGACAAAAACCCTCCACAATGTCTTCTGTACAACGTCAGGAGACGGCTTTATCCGACAGGTCTCTTTGTTCTAACACGGCATCGCATTACTATAAACATTTTAGAAATAAATCCTGTGCCGACAACTCAACAAAGGCTGCCAATTGGACCAAGCACACAAACACTCTGCCCCCACCCTCAAGCCTGGGGGGGACCCCTTACTACACCCCGTATTTAAAGCTCTCGTGGAAGCTCACTGGGTGACCTTGGGCCAATCACACGTTGCTCCGCCTGACCTTCCCCGCAAGGTTGTTGTGAGGAGAAAATGGAGACGGGGAGAACGGGTCCAGATTGGGGGCGGGGGGGCGGGGGAGAGTACAGAAAAAGCAAATCAACGAAGCCCGGTTCGCTCTTCGTTTCAATTTCCTACTCCCGTGGTTGCAATCGATCAAAGCGCTCAGTAAATAAAAGTCATTGGACTCTTCGTTTTCGATGTCCCACATTCGTTTGCTCTGGAGCCCTCCTTCCTGAGCGAAGACAAAAATACGTGAGTTGGAGGCTAAAAAACTGTGAGCTAGCTCACACCAACTCAGTTTAGAGGGAACCCTGGTTGCAACCAATGCTCCCTCTAAGCCAGGGGGTGTCAAACATGCAGCCCCCGGAGGGCTTCTATCAGGCCCGCAGTGGAACTGGCTGTCTTGTTTGGTGTCGTGGTTAAGTGCGCGGACTCTAATCTGGGAGAACCGGGTTTGATTCCCCACTCCTCCACTTGCAGCTGCTGGATGACCTTGGGCAAGCCATAGTTCTGGCACAGCTGTTCTTGGAAAAGAGCCGTTTCTGTCAGAGCTCTCTCAGCCCCACCCGCCTCACAGGGTGTCTGTTGTGGGGAGGGGAAGGGAAAGGAGTTTGTAAGCCGGTCTGAGACTCCTTCGGGTAGTGAAGGGCGGGGTATAAATCCAATCTCTTCTTCTTCCGCTTCTTCATCATTATAGGTTTGCAGGTTACAGATACACCCCTGAACAGCATACTCAAGATTGCAATAGCACAGACATTTTGATGTAGTAATTCAGAGCAAGAGGTGTCAGTTATCAGACACTGTTAAATAAACAAAATATTGCAAGAGTGCTAATGTTTTAAGCATGTTTTAAAGTTTTAAAAAACCCCTTTGTGTTTGTGTCCTCTATAAAGTTCATATCCCTGCTACCTGGCATTACATTTTATGACACCGGTGGCCCGGCCCAACAAGGTCTTATTTATGTCAGATCCGGCCCTCGTAACAAATGAGTTCGACACCCCCTGCTTTAAGCTGTGGAGTCTCATGAGCAAAAATTCTACTTTGCAAGCTACTGACATTAAAGTCGTGAGTGAGCGATTTGGCTATTGCATCAATCAGTTTGCTCTGGAGCCCTCCTTCCTGAGCGGAGACAAAAAATGTGTGAGCCGGAGGCTAAAAGACTGTGAGCCGGCTCACACTAACTCAGCTTAGAGGGAACACTGTTTGTGAGCTACTGGCATTAAAGCAAACAATTTGACTACTGCATAAATTAGTCTGCTCTGGAGCTGTCCTTCCTGAGCTAATGTGTGAGCCGGAGGCTAAAAAAACTGTGAGCTAGCTCACACTAACTTAGCTTAGAGGGAACACTGTATATGGCAACCAAAAATTCCCCCCCCCCTGAGAGTAGGTCTAATTTGGGGGACTTACTTCCGAGAGACCCAGTTTAGGATGCTTTCTTAAACCAAGAGGGAAGGGTAACAAGAAAAGAACATAAAACACATATATTATAACCAGTGTTCCCTTTAATCCAAGTTAGTGTGAGCTAGCTCACAGTTTTTTAGCCTCTAGCTCACAGATTTTTGTCTCAGCTCGGGAAGGAGGGCTCCGGAGCAAATTAATTTATGCAGCAGCCAGATCACTCGCTCACAACTTTAAGGCCAGTAGCTCACCAAGTAGAATTTTTGCTCACAAGACTCCACAGCTTAGAGGGAGCATTGCTTATAACTTCTCTCTCTCTCTCTGTCTCTCTCTCCCTGGGCTGGCCAGTTGGTTTCTGCAGGTTCCATAACTGTCTGTCCTTGCAGCTTCTGCCTGGGGGAGAGGGGATGCAGTTCTTCAAATGCACACAGCACACTCCTGCTTGGGTGCAAAAAAAAAAAAAAAATTGCATGCAACACCCTCGGGGCAGCACCCAGGATGAGCACTGCAGCGAGAGGGAAATTCAAATCCTCGCCACCATCTCTGCAGTGCCTGAACCGCAGCGTAAGGGGGGGGGGGGGGATAACAACACACACCCAGTTAGAAATCGGTCGCTTTAAAGAAACCCCCGTTTCCGCGCAGAATTAGAACCCAGGACTTTCTCCAAAACTCTTTTTAAAAAACAAACACACACGTTTGTCAAAGTTCTTTTGCATCAGCCCGGACTCAAAGGCAATTCGAGATGTATGCAGAGAGAGAGAGAGAAAACTTGATTTCTATCCCCCCTTTTTTTTCTAAAGCAAAACAAGAACGCATTTTGCCCTCGCTCGCAAAAAGCAACAACAACGAATAAGTATTACTTTAGGTTTCGTTTTGCAAGGAAAGACTTACCTTAGCAAGACTTTGGCGGCTTCTGTTTCTTAAAGAGTGGAGGGGGAAGAGGAGGGGAAAAGAACTCCAGCACTCCAAGAGTTAACAGATCCCCAAGGGCAATCTTGCAATCTCTGGATCCTGCTGAGTTTTGATAGTTTTGGGGGGGGAATCCGGTTGCAGGGACGCTTTCCCTCCTCCAATTTACAAAATAAAACAGAAAAAGAAAGTAACCCCACGAAGGGGGGGGGGACGCTTGTTTTCTCGAAGGTTTTTTTTTTTCCCCACTCTGATTGGTCGGCTCAGTTTGGATCTGCCCGGATACTCCGCCGTTCTTTAATGCAAATGGCTGCGGGATCTTTTTCCACCCGGATACAACCCCAGCTTGCCTTGTCATTGGCTCGGGGCGCGGCGAAGTCTGCCTAGCAACACGTCTCGGATTGGCGACGGGTCTGCCAGTTTCGAAGCAGGACAGGGAAGGGAGGGGTGGGCGTGAAAGAGGGCGACCGAGTCTAAAGCGGCTCCTCCGCTTGCGGAGCTCGAGGGGAGGGTCCTACCTCGCAGGGTTGCGAGGAAGGCGGCTGGGACGCGGATCCCGGATTCTAAAATCCTGGCCCCAAAACCTTGGAAGAATATCGCCGTTGGAATATAGGCAAGGAAAGAGGATGTTTGCTCCACAAGATGGGCTTAAATGCACAAGAATGGCAGAAAAACCCCGCAGAAGCGTTCGCGTTGCCAACCTCCAGGTGGTGCCTGGAGGTCTCCCGGGATGACAACCAACGCTCCCTCTAAGCTGTGGAGTCTTGTGAGCAAAAATTCTACTTTATGAGCTACTGGTATTAAAGTTGTGAGCGAGCGATTTGGCCACTGCATGAATTAGTTTGCTCTGGAGCCATCCCTTCCTGAGCTAAGACAGAAATCTGTGAGCCGGAGGCTAAAAAAAACGTGAGCTAGCTCACACTAACTCAGCTTAGAGGGAACACTGATTACAACTAATTTCCAGACAAGGAGATTAGATCCTCTGCAGAAAAGGGCTCTTTTGGATGATGGGCTATGGCAGGGGGTGTCAAACTCATTGGTTACGAGGGCCGGACCTGACATAATGAGACCTTGTAGGGCCGGGCCATGTGCGTCATAAAATGTAATGCCAGGTAGCGGAGATATAAACTTCATAAAGGGCACAAACACCAAGGGTGTTTTTCCACTTAAAATAAAAACGTGCTTAAAACATGAGCACTCTTGCAATATTTTGTTCATTTAACAGCCTCTGATAACTCACACCCCTTGCACTGAATTATTGCATCACAGTGTCTGTGCCGTTGCAATCTTGAGTATGGCTGTTCAGGGGTGTCTCTGTAAGCTGCAAACCTACGATGACGCAGCAGCAGCAGCAGAACTGGAAGCAGCAGCAGAAGACGGTCAGTTCCACTGCGGGCCTGATAGAAGCGCTCCGGGGGGCCTGATCTGGCCCCCGGGCCACATGTTTGACACCCCTGGTCTGTGGCCTTATACCCTGCTGAGGTCTCTCCCAACCCAAACCCCGCCCTCCCCGGGCTCCACCTCCCAAATCTCCAGGTATTTCCCAACCCAAATTGTTATTTTAATACTGTTTCAATTGTATTATTTAACTGTTATACACCACCTTGAGCCCATTTGGGGAGGGCGGTGTATAAATCTAATACAAAAAATAAACAAAATAAAAAATCAATCAATCCTCTCCTTCTTTGGTTTCTTCACAGCAACTTGTGTTGAGAGAGGTATACTGCCTCTGGGTGTGGAGGTTCTATTAGCTATTAGCCATTGGTAGGCCTCTCCTCCTCCCCGGGGTTTCTCTCCTCCACTTTGATTGGCCGTGGTGCAGAACAGCTTTTTGATATGGTGACCCGCAAGTCCAAATGTAGGAAGAGGAAGAGATTGGATTTATACCCTGCCCTTCACTCGGAGTCTCAGAGCGGCTTACAAACTCCTTTCCCCACCCCTCCACACAACAGATGCCCTATGAGGTAGGTGGGGCTGAGAGAGCTCTGAGAGAAAGTGCCCTTGAGAGAACAGCTCTGAGAGAACTTGTGACTGACCCAAGGTCACACCAGCAGCTGCAAGTGGAGGAGTGGGGAATCAAACCCGGTTCTCCCAGATTAGAGTCCGTGCTCCTAACCACTACACCGAACTGGCTCTTGGTAGGGTGACCTGTCCACAGCTGGTGCGAGGTTTTTGGACCCCCTAGGCAAACTACGACCTTGGTGCCCATCGGGTTCAGCCCCAGATGACCCCTGGGTGATTGGAGGTTAGTTTCAAGGAAGGGCTAATTAGAGTCAAGATACATAAATTAACTGGGCAGTTATAGCTGAGACTGGATTAAGGTGGTTGGTAAAATCTGTGAGGAGCTGCGGTGGCTCAAGTGGTTAAGACGCTGAACTGCAGGCTGTGGAAGGTCGGTAGTTCAGCAGTTCGAGACCCGGGTGTGCCGCATGACTGAGTGAGCTCCCGTCTCTAGTTCCAGCTCCTGCCAACCTAGCAGTTCGAAAGCACGAAATTGCAAGTCGATAAATAGGGACCACTTCGGTGGGAAGGTCACAGCGTGCCGTGCGCCTTGGTGTTTAGGCATGCTGGCCACATGACCGTGGAAATGTCTTCGGACAGCGCTGGCTCTTCGGCTTTGAAATGGAGATGAGCACCGCAACCCTAGAGTCGGACTCAACTGGCTTTCGAGCAAGGGAACCCTTACCTTTTAAGATCTGTGAATGGCGGTAAATTTACATACAAATACAAGAGTTAACAAACAGATGTAAGATCCAGCAGGGCTCTTCTGATATTCTTGTGTAGAGATTGACTCTTAGGCAGAGTTTTGTGGGCAGGGTGTTTTGTTTGTTTGTTTGGAAAAAAAAGGTGCCCGAACTCACAAGAGAGAAAGGAAGTTTTCAGTCTGTATACTGAAAACTTAGGATCTTTTAAACACTTTAAAAAGAATTTTGTCAAAGAGGTTCCGGAACTCCATCCTGACGCATTCCCCCAGGGGAGGGGAAAGCGCTGGTTGTAGGGTAACATCCTGTGCAGGAATCAGTCATCAGAGCTGCCACAAAAAAGTGTGGAAAAGGCCAATTAGAATGATCAAAGGGTTGGAACACTTTCCCTATGAAGAAAGGTTAAAAACGCTTGGGGCTCTTTAGCTTGGAGAAATGACGGCTGAGGGGTGACATGATCGAGGTTTACAAGATCATGCGTGGGATAGAGCAGGTCGAGAAAGAAGTCCTTTTCTCCCTTTCTCACAATACAAGAACTCCTTGTGGGCACTCCATGAAATTGCTGAGCAGTCGGGTTGGAACGGATCAAAGGAAGTCCTTCTTCACCCAAAGACTGATTGACACATGGAATTCACTGCCACGGGAGGTGGTGGCGGCTACAAGCATGGATGGCTTCAAGAGGGAATTAGATAAGCATATGGAGCAGAGGTCCATCAGTGGCTATTATCCACAAGGTATAGATAGGGACTCTGGGGCAAGTGATGCTCTGGCTTCTTGGTGCTTGGGGGGTGGGAGAGCAACAGTGGGAGGGCTTCTAATGTCCTGGCCCCACTGCTGGACCTATTGATGGCACCTGGTATTTTTGGCCACTGTGTGACAGAGTGTTGGACTGGATGGGCCATTGCCCTGATCCAACATTGGCTTCTCTTATGTTCTTATGGATAAACATTTGGAGCAGAGGTCCATCAGTGGCTATTAGCCACAAGGTATAGATCGGAGCTCTCAGGCTGGGGCAAGTGATGCTCTGTATTCTTGGTGCCGGGGGGTGGGGGCAACAGTAGGAGGGCTTCTAGTGTCCCGGCCCCACTGCTGGACCTCCTGACGGCACCTGGTATGTTTGGCCACTGTGTGACACACAGCATTGGACTGGGTGGGCCATTGGCCTGATCCAACATGGGCTTCTCTCACACATTCTTATGTTCTTAATATTGGGAGCTGTGGCTCAGTGGCCGAGCATCTGCTTGGCATGCAAAAGAGCCCCGGTTCAATCCCCAGAAGCTCCTTCAGTTAAAAGGACCAGGCGGGAGGTGATGCGAAAGACCTCGACCTGGGACCCCGGAGAGCTGCTGCCAGTCTGAGTAGACAATACTGACTCAGTTGGACCGAGGGTCTGATTCGGTATAAGGGGGCTTCATCTGGCCACGGCTGCCTGCTAAGCGGGTACTCGGTAGTGGGGGACAAACACGATTTTACTGCCATGTTCTTTTGGAAGAGGCCCTAAGAATGAATCCGTTGAACCACTTTGAACGTTGAAAAAGACACAGACATCCAGGCAGTGTGGAAGAAACCCTTTTATTGCCCTGGTTTCCCTTGTGGTTAAGTTTGTGGACTCTAATCTGGGAGAACCGGGTTTGATTCCCCACTCCTCCACATGCAGCTGCTGGTGTGACCTTGGGCCAGTCACAAGTTCTCTCAGAGCTGTTCTCCCATCAGCAGTTCTCTCAGAGCTCTCTCAGCCCCACCGACCTCACAGGGTGTTTGTTGTGGGGAGGGAAAGGGAAAGGAGTTTGTAAGCCGCTCTGAGACTACTTTGGGTAGTGAAGGGTGGGGTATAAATCCAATCTCCTCCTCCTCCTCCTCCTCCTGAGAGCCAGTTTCGTGTAATGGTAAGTGTACAGACTCTAATCTGGGAGACCCTAGTTTGATTCCCCACTCCTCCACATGCAGCTGCTGGTGTGACCTTGGGTCAGTCACAAGTTCTCTCAGAGCTGTTCTCTCAAGGGCAGTCCTCGAGAGAGCTCTCTCAGCCCCACCGACCTCACAGGGTGTTTGTTGTGGGGAGGGAAAGGGAAAGGAGTTTGTAAGCCGCTCTGAGACTACTTTGGGTAGTGAAGGGTGGGGTATAAATCCAATCTCCTCCTCCTATTCCTCTTGTGTTAAGAGCTGTGGCTCGTACCCATTTTTTTTCTCATTCCAAGCAAGCCACATTTGAATTGCATTAAACCCTGTGGGCGTAAGACAAGGATGTAAACTGAGTTATTTCCCCCCTCAAGATTTCAGCAGCAACTGAGTCTGTTGACTTCTTAGAGAAACCCAGTTCTTTGGGATGCCACCGTCCAGGTGGGGCCTGGAGATCCCCCGGGAATTACAAGCTATCTCCAGACTACAGAGATCAGTTCCCCTGAAGGAAATGGCAGGTTCGGTGGGTGGACTCTATGGTATACCATCGAGTCTGGGAGGTGGAAGTCCTAGAGCGGCATCACATCCCTGCCGAGCTTCCTCCCCTCCCCAAACTCCGCTCTCCCCAGGCTCCGCCCCCAAACCTCCCAGAATTTCCTAGCCCACAGCAGGCACCCCTAGAAAGCTTCCATGCCGCGGATCAGCACAAACGTACATTTTTTTAAAAAAATTGATGAGCAGAGAAGAACCCCAAGCCGCCATGTGCAGGTGTCATTTCGTAGCAAAAGAGGTGCAGGAGCTCATTAGCATAACTCATTAGCATAGCTCATTTGCATATGCCACACACCCCGACATCACCAGAAGTGTGTCAGAAGGCGACACCCACCGCTCAGGCTCCACTGGACTGTTTCGGATTGCTAGCTATTGCAGATCTGTCCTCGCAGAGGAGGGAGAGCTTGTACCTGAATAAAACTTGGCCTTAAAGGTGCCACTGGACTGTTTTGGGCCGGGGCGGGCGGGGGGGAGCTCTGCAGCTTACCGGGCTGCTTCTTGCTCTGACTGAGGGCCGCTGGGAGCAGGGGGTGGGGCTTGTTGCATGTGCCCGCCCCCTGGGCTCTTTACTGCCGGAGCTCCGCTCCTGTGCGCTCCTGCAGGAAATGACCCCTGGCCATGTGCGTGCCTTCTCCACGACCCTCCCCCAAAGCTAGCATCGGAGCAGGCCCACACGTAGTAGTATTAACATTTATTGTGTTGCCATTGGCCATGACCATTTAAAACAAGATACAAATGAGACAACTTACAGCACTGGAATTTGAATTAGATTTGAAATAGAATCACCTCTAAAAACCTGCACATTCAGTATTTATATTAATTAAAATACATAACAGGAGGCCGCCCTGGTAATGGTCGCAATTTGTTAGCAAGAGCCCATCCCCCCTGTTTCTGCTGATTCTGACATAAATGGGGTAGCTTCATAGATTTTTGCAAAATACTCAGACCAGGTATTTCCACTTGTCTGTGCATCCATCACTGGACCAGGTCTGCCTAAACTAGATGAAACAATTTCCCAAAAACGTGATTCTTTCCTCTCAGATGTGGCCTGAACTGGTTCGTTCCATAAATGCTTAGCCTAAGCAGTTCCTTTTTTGGTGTAGTGGTTAGGAGCGCGGACTCTAATCTGGAAGAACTGGGTTTGATTCCCTACTCCTCCACGTGCAGCTGCTGGTGTGACCTTGGGTCAGTCACAAGTTCTCTCAGAGCTGTTCTCTCAAGGGCAGTCCTCAGAAGAGCTCTCTCAGCCCCACCTACCCCACACGGTATCTGTTGTGGGGACGGGAAGGGAAAGGAGTTTGTCAGCCGCTCTGAGACACCTTTGGGTAGTGAAGGATGGGGTATAAATCCAATCTCCTCCTCCTCCTCCTCTTCTTCTTCTTCTTCTTCTTCTTCTTAAGCAGGCTCTTATATTGGGATCTAACTGTGTTTAATTGTTGGAGATGGTGGGGCTCTTTACTTTGTCTAGTTCAGGGGTGTCGAACTCATTTGTTATGAGGGCTGGATCTGACATAAATGAGACCTTGTTGGCCCGGGCCACGTGTGTCATAAAATGTAACGCCAGGTAGCGGAGATATAAACTTTATAAAGGACACAAACACAAGGGTGTTTTTTTTTTACTTAAAATAAAAACATGCTTAAAACCAGGGCTTTTTTGGTAGAAAAAGCCCAGCAGGAACTCATTAGCATATTAGGCCACACCCAACAGCAGAAACTCATTAGCATATTAGGCCACACCCATGACAGCACAGCTCTTTGGCATATTAGGCCACACCCCAAGCCTTCCCTTGGCTTGCCCGGGCGCCCAGCAGCTGGATTGCCCTTGGACAGGCTGGGGAAGGCACAGGGAGGCATTTAAATGCCTTCCCAATCCTTCCAGCCCCCTGGTGGAAACTAATACCTTGCTACAGTTAGAAATCACTACAGAAACAGTAGATAATATTCTGAATTAACGTTGTTTACTAACCGCCAAGACAGTTAAATATACCTTTGCAGGACTGAGTGAAATTAAAGTAAGTCTTGAACAGCTTATGAAAACGGTATCAGATCTAACAAGACCAAGGCTGATTTTGCACTAGAGCTGCCTCGATGTTGCGCCGCCGTTTGCCCCGATACTATTGGTCAATTTCACACCCGAAGCTGCGGGGCTGCATTTTGACTCGCGGCTTCGCCCGATTTCCCTCGCAGTTTCGTGATCCTGGTTAAAACATGAAATGGCCGGGGTCCAACATACCTTCGGGATCACCTTTCCCCGTATATACCCCAGAGAGCACTACGGTCGGGGTCGCAAAATCTGTTGACCATCCCTGGCCCAGGGGAGGCTAAGTTAGCCATCACCAGGGCCGGAGCCTTTTCAGTGGCGGCCCCTACCTGGTGGAACGAGCTCCCAGAGGAGATCAGGGCCCTGCGGGATCTTTTACAGTTCCGCAGGGCCTGCAAGACGGAGCTCTTCCGCCAGGCATTTAAGTAGGGGCCGCCGTTGTTATAGGCTCATGGTACTGCAGGCTGCTGCAGATCGTTACACCTAATATGGCCTGTGGATTAACAACGACATGGACTAATGATAGAAGCCATTTGTGGACATCAGGGCAATGGCAAGTGATTCTGCAACTTACCATCGAAATGAATTTTAATCTGCCGCCTGCACTTTGTATTTATAATGTTTTATGGTATTTGTATATGATGTATTTTAATGTAATGTAACTTGTATTTTATTGGAAGCCGCCCTGAGCCCGCTTGCGGGGAGGGCGGGGTATAAATTTGAAGAAATAAATTAAAAAAAAAAAAAATTTTGAGGATCACGAAACTGCGGAGGAAATAGGGCGAAGCCGCGGGTCAAATGCAGCCCCGCGGCTTCGGGTGTGAAATTGACCAATAGTATCGGGGCAAACGGCGGCGCAACATCGAGGCAGCTCTAGTGCAAAATCAGCCTTGGTCTTGTTAGATCTGATACCGTTTTCATAAGCTGTTCAAGACTTACTTTAATTTCACTCAGTCCTGCAAAGGTATATTTAACTGTCTTGGCGGTTAGTAAACAACGTTAATTCAGAATATTATCTACTGTTTCTGTAGTGATTTCTAACTGTAGCAAGGTATTAGTTTCCACCATACTAGTTTCATCAGAGTTCTTTATTTCTGCCGAAGGAGCATAGCGGTTTGCAGTAGGCAGACTAAAGAGAGTCTCTTCCTTGGTGCCCAAATAATCCAAAATTCTTTTCTGCTTACTAGCAGGCAGTGTTCCCTCTAAGCTGAGTTAGTGTGAGCTAGCTCATAGTTTTCTAGCCTCCAGCTCACACATTTTTGTCTTAGCTCAGGAAGGATGGCTCCAGGGCAAATGAATTTATGCAGTAGCCAAATGGCTCACTCACATCTTTAATGCCAGTCACTCACAAAGCAGAACTTTTACTCACAGGACTCCACAGCTTAGAGGGAGCGTTGCTAGCGGGAGGTGTTGTTGTGTCTTCTAAATCACACATCCTTTTATTTGGACCCATTCTTATTCCAATCGTTGCGGCTGTACTATAGCCTCATGTCCTGGTCAGCAATTACTATTTAAAAGAATAACCCCCAAAGTTTGCAGAATTTCCTTCATCAACCCACAGCCTCTTTATTAACAATCCTGTGACCCCGGTCAAACGCGGGGGGGGGGGAGGCGTGGCTGTTTGCCCCGGAGCAAAATAAAGCGTGGTAGCCCGATCACATGGTCCCCCGAGGCTTTATGCTTAGGCTGTTAGCTGGCGATCACACGGCAATGCTGGAGCGTGGCAAAGAAGTGGCACGGCGTTTAGCTTTTGTGCGCATGCGCAGTGCTGCTCTGCTTTCAGTTACGTGTTTGTGCGCATGCGCTTACGAAAAACATCTGGTTTGCGAAGGGACGTGGACGAGCGCCAGATGCCACGGGATACTGGCGCTCCCGCGATCAGACGCCCGCCCCTGCCCCGTGTTTTCTGGATACTAGTGCACTTTCTGAGCAGTGTTCCCTCTAAGCTGAGTTAGTGTGGGCCAGCTCACCGTTTTTTAGCCTCCGGCTCACACATATTTGTCTTTGCTCAGGAACGGAGGGCTCCAGAGCAGAATAATTTATGCAGCAGCCAAACCGCTCGCTCACAACTTTAATGCTAGCAGCTCACCAAGTAGGATTTTTGCTCACGAGACTCCACAGCTTAGAGGGAACATTGTTTCTGAGGTACTTTTTTAATGCGCATCTTCGACGGGACACCAAGGGTTGGCCACGAGTGCGCAACTGAGAGCCAGTTTGGTGTAGTGGTTAAGTGTGCGGACTCTAATCTGGGAGAACCGGGTTTGATTCCCCACTCCTCCACTTGCACCTGCTGATGTGACCTTGGGTCAGTCACAAGCTCTGACGCAGCTGTCCTTGAAAAAGAGCAGTTTGTGTCAGAGCTCTCTCAGCCCCACCCACCTCACAGGGTGTCTGTTGTGGGGAGGGGAAGGGAAAGGAGTTTGTGAGCCGCTCTGAGACTCCAAGTGAAGGGCGGAGTATAAATCCAATCTCTTCTTCTTCTCTTCTTCTACACTTCCCAAATGTTGCGTTGTGATTGCACACCGAAAATTCGCATGACATTCGTGCCTTTAGCGCGGCAAATCCTCCATGTGTCATTTGCAATGCTGAAGTAAGTAGGGAACTCTTATGAAGTTTATGCCACTGACTGTTTATGGCTGAAGTTGGCCAGCAGGCTTAATGACTCGGCGTTCCAGGCTTATCTCTGTGACCGTGGTCGAATCTGCATTTGCATTTTTAAATCACTTTCGTGCTGCTGTGACGCCGTCTTTCACTATGCTTGTTTGAACGTTCTTTGGAGAAGATTCATTTAAAGCACTGCGGAGGCGCAATGACAGGGGAGCTGCCACGAGAGGGCGATAAACATATGCAGACATGCAACAGTATGCTAGCACTGCCGGGGTGTGAAAACGAAACCAAACGTAAACAGCTTTTTTGAAGACAGAGTCAGAAGGCCGGGACACCGGTGGGAGAGACAAATGCAGAGTCGACCAGTAACTTGTAGCAACTTGAGGCTGATTGCAAGAGACAGATTCCTTAAAACAGCAGCTGCTTCAAACTGGAGGAACACTCGTATTGTGCAAATTACTAAGCAGAAGGTTTTTAGTAAGATAAAGAGCAAGAAAATGAAGTCGCTTGCGGAACGTTGCAACCAGTGCTGCTATTCCGCCGCCATCTTGGGGTAGTCTCCAGGCCCACACGCTCCCCACCTAGACCCAGATATCCGAGGTGCAGTCTCCCCCAGGGTAACGCATCTCGTGAGCCCGGGCGGGCCCGCAGGGCTCCTTCCCGAAATCGACCAGGAAGTCTTCGTTCAGGCACAGACCTCCACATTCAGTGTCCACGTCGATCTGCAGCATGACGGAACCTTCCCTGAAGGAGGAAGGAAACGGGCCGGGTGAACGAGCGGCGAACGTCGAGGGCAGGGGGCCGGCCGCGGGGATAAGGGGGAGAGGTTTCTTACCTGACCAGTTCGGGGTAAAACTGCTTGTCCCACGGAGTGTACAGATTGTTGGTGACATAGAGTCTCTTGCCATCCAAGCTGAGCTGAAGCATTTGGGGTCCTCCGTAGACTCTCCTTCCCTACAAGAAAGACGGGGGGAAACGGGAGGGAGGTTGAAGAGATGCAGATCGGCAAAAACCAGGAGAAGGCTGCATGGCACCTGTTTTGTCTTTTAGGACCTGCTGGAGTTGCCGGTATTATGGGCAGGGGTCATTTCGTAGAAAAAGAGGTGCAGGAGCTCATTAGCATAACTCATTTGCATAACTTATTTACATGTGCCACGCCCCCTGACGTCACCGGAAGTGTGTCAGAAGGCAACACCCACTGCTCAGGCTCCACCTGACTGTTTTGGATTGCTAACTATTGGGGGGGGGGAGGGAATGCGCAGATCTGCCCTCACAGAGGAGGGAGAGCTTGTACCTGAATAAAACTTGGTCTTAAAGGTGCCACTGGACTGTTTTGGATTGCTAGCTATGGGGGTGGGGACGTGCAGATCTGTCCTCACAGAGGAGGGAGAGCTTGTACCTGAATAAAACTTGGTCTTAAAGGTGCCACTGGACCGTTTTGGATTTGCTCCCGTATGCTCCTGCAGGAAATGACCCCTGATTATGGGGTTCAGTGATGCAGTCGTCACTGGCAACTGATTGGGAGGGGGCTCCTCGGGGAAGCAGAGTGGGGATTTTGGGACCAGAGACAATTTTGGATGAAAAACAGCCTGTCAAGGAGGAGCCCTGACCTGAGTCACCCAGCCTGGCCCAATCTCATGAGATCTCGGAAGCTGAACGATGTCAATCCTGGCTAGGACTTTGATGGGAGACCTCCAAGGAATACCAGGGTCATGGCGCCGAGGCAGGCAACGACAAAACCACCTCTGAACGCCTCTTGCCTTCAGAACCCTATGACGTCACCGTAAATCAGCTTGAACTCCCCTCCCCAAACCCCACTCTCCCCGGCCTCCACCCCCCAAGTCTCCAGGAACTTCCCAAGCCATAGTTGGTAACCTTACCACCCAGCCGCACTCTCCCCCTCCGTTTGTGAGTCACTCACCTGGATCATGAAAGGATCAGGTTGGCCATTCAGCTCCGGATCTTCAAGGACGGTGACCACCCCGCCTTTTGGGATGCTGCCGCCTACCCACACCTGTGTGCACACAAGGTAAAGGTAAAGGTCTCCCTTGCTCGAAAGCCAGTCGAGTCCGACTCTAGGGTTGCGGTGCTCATCTCCATTTCAAAGCCGAAGAGCCAGTGCTGTCCGAAGACGTTTCCGTGGTCATGTGGCCGGCATGACTAAACACCGAGGCGCACGGAACGCTGTTCCCTTCCCACCGAAGTGGTACCTATTTATCTACTTGCAATTTCTTGCTTTCGAACTGCTATGTTGGCAGGAGCTGGAACTAGAGACGGGAGCTCACTCCGTCATGCGGCACACTCGGGTCTCGAACTGCTGAACTACCGACCTTCCACAGCCTGCAGTTCAGCGTCTTAACCACTTGAGCCACCCACACCTGTGTGTACACAAAGATCCCCCCAAAAGTGAGAGGATCGGTCAGAGTGGCTCAAAACCTTTCCACTGTCAGAGTGGTCCAAAGGTGGAATCAGCTGCCTCGGGAGGTGGTGAGCTCCCCTTCACCGGCAGCGTCCAAGAAGAGGCTGGACGGATATTGGTCAGGGAGGCTCTAGGCTGGACCTGCACTGGGCAGGGGGTTGGACGAGATGGTCTGTATGGCCCCTTCGAACTCTATGATTCTAGGATTCTATGTAAGAGCCAGTGAGCCAGAGGGACGATCTGTAGAATGTTGTGATGATCTGATGCAGAATGGCTTATCGACAGTATCTCGCCACCTTGGTTCGAGCAGAAGAAAGGGGTTAAAGGGATTGAAATGGAGACCATGGGCTCTTCCGCGGTCTGATTTTCATCACTGGTGTGTCCCTATTGCTCCTGGGGTTTTCCCATATGTGTACTGCTCCCTCTAGTGGTTGATTACATATTACATCATTGTATGTCTGATGCCCACCAAAAGAGAGAGAATCAGACAGATGCAAGAGCCAATTGGTCAGAGGCACTGTCTGTAAAATGTGATAATCTGATGCAAAATGGCTTATTAATAGTATCTCGCCACTGTCAGCTATGCTGCCATGGGGGTTGGGAAGTTCATTCTGTGTCTTGGTAATTGCTATTGCATTCCTATCTCGGCTGTTCTGCCTGTGCTGCAATGCTTATCTCTACCGATGTGCAGGAGGAGGTTGTGTTGGAGGTTGTATTGTCTGGAAGTCTCCTATGTACCGTGAGAGACTCCTGCTTCCCAGCTTTTGCCACCTAACGGTTTCCTAGCTGGGCCCACACGCGGCAGGGTAGCTAATTGGCCCATGCCATGGGGGGGGGGTGCATACGAATGCCCTATATCCTATTATGCTCAATGAGTTGCCGCCATTCTTAACAGTGCCTGTGTTACTGCATCTATAGCTTTGCAATAAAAGTATAACCGTTCCTGAATGTGTGTACTTCGTTGTAAGCTGTGGATTCTGACAGCCACCTTGGTTCAAGCGTAAAGAAGGGGTTAGAAGGATTGAAATCAAGACCATGGGCTCGCTCACATTCCGACTTTCGTCACTGGTGTGACCCTATTGCTTTTGTGTCTTTCCCCACATGTGTTCTGCTCCCTCTAGTGGCCGATTACATATTACATCACTATATGTCCAGCATATTTCCCTGCACTTTAAAACTGCAGGGAAATAAGCCGGACGTACATTGATGTAACATCGAATCAATCTCTAGAGAATGCAAAACACGCGCAGAAAAGGAGAAAAAAAACCTGAAGCGACAGGAACACGCAAGCGACAAAAAATCAGAATGCAGGAAAGATGTTGGATCCAGCAGATCCATCCCACCGACAGTGGTGTTTCCCCAGAACTAAGAGCCTGCCCAGTGCCAGAAGAATCTTTATGCAGAGGGAAAACTCGTGGCTGTTAGAAAATCAAATCCTCTGCAGTCAACCCAAAGGCTTCGATTCCTTGGCATGATGCTGAAGGGTGCCCCGGAATTACTTCCCCTCTCTGTTTGCAAGCAAGAAACGGGATGCTCACGGCAATGTTCCCTCTAAGCTGTGCAGTCTTGTGAGCAAAAATTCTACTTTGTGAGCTACTGGCATTAAAGTTGTGAGCGAGCGACTTGGCTTCTGCATAAATTTAGTTTGCTCTGGAGCCATCCTTCCTGAGCTAAGACAAAGATGTGTGAGCTGGAGGCTAAAAAACCATGAGCTAGCTCACACTAACTCAGCTTAGAGGGAACACTGCTCCCAGGCAGGTTAAGGTGGAGGTAGCCCCCCCATGTCCGTGCCTCGGGGTACAGTATCTGCTTGGCATGCAGAAGGTCCCATCTCTGGCATCTCCAGTTAACAAAGGACCAAATAGCGGGTGATGCGAAAGGCCTCTACCTCAGGAACTGGAGAGCTGCTGCCCATCTGGTAGAGCAGGTAGAGAAAGAGGTACTTTTCTCCCTTTCTCACAATACAAGAACTCATGGGCACTCCATGAAATTGCTGAGCGGTCGGGTTAGGATGGATAAAAGGAAGTACTTCCATGTGATTCACACATGGAACTCACTGCCCCAGGAGGTGGTGCCGGCTACAAGCATGAACGGCTTCAAGAGGGAATTGGATAAGCATCTGGAGCAGAGGTCCGTTGTTGTGTATGTAATGTAATGTAATAAATGTATTCAGCTCGAATCTGACAAGGTATTGTAAAACCGGCCTATCAGAACAACGGAAGTTCTGGAGGGAAGAGAAATGATGGGTCTTTAAGTACAGTATGTGATTTGGACCTTAGCTGATGTGTGGGCGTGGCTTGCCAAGCCCGGACTGTTTAAAAAGGAGCCCGTTGCTCCATAGTTTGTCCGTTCTGGTTCTTCTGACTTCATGTTCAATAAAGCTGTTAATCACTGTTCACCTGTTGCCTGAGTCTCGTATCTAACATCCATCAGTGGCCATCAGCCACAAGGTATAGATAGGAACTCTCGGTCTGGGGCAAGTGATGCTCTGTATTCTTGGTGCAAGAGTGGGAGGGCTCCTAGTGCCCTGGCCCCATTGCTGGAGCTCCTGATGGCCCCTGGTATTTCTGGCCATTGTGTGACAGAGTGTTGGACTGGATGGGCCACTGGCCTGATCCAACATTGGCTTCTCTTATGTTCTTATGTTAAGAGTAGAGGTCCATCAGTGGCCATTAGCCACAAGGTATGGATAGGAACTCTCAGGCTGGGGCAAGTGATGCTCTGTCTTCTTGGTGCTTGGGGGGGGGTCAACAGTGGGAGGGCTTCTAATGTCCTGGCCCCACTGCTGGACCTCCTGATGGCACTTGGTATCTGTGGCCACTGTGTGACACAGAGTGTTGGACTGGATGGGTCACTGGCGTTATCCAACATGGGCTTCTCTTCTGTTCTTATGACAGTACTGAGATCAGACGATGATGGATGGATCGAAGGTCCGATTCAGCTACAAGGCAGCCTTGTACTGAATCAGACTTTTCCAGTATTGTCTACTGAGACTGGAAGAGGCTGTCCAGGGTCTAAGGCAGAGGTCTCTCACATCCCCAGCTACTGGTCCTTTTAGCTGGAGATGTGGGAGATTGAACTTGGGGTCTTCTGCATGCCAGGCAGATGCTCTACCACTGAGCCAAGAACCCTCCCCAAATCATAAAGTGACCATATACTGAATCAGACCTCGATCTGTCGATCAAAGTCAGTATTGTCCAATTGGACTGCCAGCAGCTCTCCAGGGTCTCAGGTAGAGGTCTTTCATGTCCCTTCCTGCTTGGTCCCTTTGACTGGAGATGCTGGGGATTGAACCTGGGACCTTCTGCATGCCGAGCAGATGCTCTGCCACTGAGCCACAGCCCCTCTTTACAGCTCTCCAGGGTCTCAGGTGGAGGTCTTTCCCATCACCTCCTGCCTGGTCCTTTGAACTGGAGATGCCGGGGATTGAACCTGGGACCTCCTGCATGCCAAGCAGAGGCTCTTCCACTGAGCCACAGCCCCTCTTTACAGCTCTCCAGGATCTCAGGCGGAGGTCTTTCCCATCACCTCCTGCCTGGTCCTTTTGACTGGAGATGCCGGGGATTGAACCTGGGACCTTCTGCATGCCAAGCAGAGGCTCTGCCACTGAGCCAGGGGATTTTAATGATGGTGTGCAACCTCATATGCCGGGTGGCTGAGAGAGAAAACCCTTGAAGGAAGACGCTTACCTGGCCAACCAGCCTGGGGCAGAAAGGGTCAGTGATGTCATACTGACGGATGTCGCCATGGATGAAGTTGCTCATGTACATGAACCGATCGTCCAATGAAATGACCATGTCGGTGTTAAAGGCTGGAGGAGGAGAAGGGAGGAATATTCATATCAGTTTGATGTAGTGGTTAAGTGCGCGAACACTAATCTGGGAGAACTGGGTTTGATTCCCCACTCCTCCACTTGCAGCTGCTGGTGTGACCTTGGGTCAGTCACAAGTTTTTTTCAGAGCTGTTCTCTCAAGGGCAGTTCTCGAGAGAGCTCTCTCAGCCCCGCCTACCTCACAGTCAATGCTCCCTCTAGGCTGTGGGCTCTTGTGAACAAAAATTCTGCTTTGTGAGCTACTGGCATCAAAGTTGTGAGCGAGTGATTGGGCCGCTGCATAAATTAGTTTGGTCTGGAGCCCTCCTTCCTGAGCCAAGATAAAAATCTGTGAGCTGGAGGCTCAAAAACTGTGAGCTAGCTCACACTAACTCAGCTCAGAGGGAACACTGCTCACAGGGTGTCTGTTGTGGGGAGGGGAAGGGAAAAGGATTGTAAGCTGCTCTGAGACCCCTTCAGGTACTGCAGGGCAGGGTATAAATCCAATTTCCTCCTCCTTGCAACTACCAATTCTCTCCAAAAGCCAGTCAAAAGTCCACTGGTGGCACAGCCGGGGAAACGGTGGCCTGAAAGGGATGACAACAGAAAAATGGAACCAACGTGGACAGGAGGTTGAAAAGGCACACTTCCCACCCAGGAGCCATGCAAATGTGCTTGGATTACATTCCTGCCAGAGAACGGATGCCCAAGCAGATCCAGGAAAGATCAGAGCAGGCTGGTGGGGGGCAATTTGGGGGCAATGCCCCCCACAGATGAGTCCTGCCCCCTCAAAAATTGTTGTTTAAAAAACTGTTAAGCTACATGTGGGTGTTCCAAAATGACCCCAGACACAATCAGGGAAACTTCAGTCTCATTTTTCTTTTTTCCCAGGCCGAAAAATAAATAGGTTTTTAACAATGCAATAAAATAAAATGAAATTGCAAAATGCAAAATAGATGGTCGGGGGGGGGGAGCGGAAGAGCAGCCTGGAATCAAATCTCCCCAATCGAAAGGACCGGAGGTCACAGTGGAGCTGGATCAGCCCCTGTTGCAAGAGGAGCAGCAGGTCCGGCCGGGGTGCCCCCTTCGGATTTCCCCACCAAGCGACATTTTCTGGCTACACCCCTGGACCGGAGAAAATGGAGGGACCGCTTGGAAAGTGGGCAACTGAAGGACGACAGCGTGTGGAGCGTCCGGAAAACACCACTTGCGTTGGGAAGCCAAAACCAAGGGAGAGCAAAACGGGGCTCCTGCGGATGCAACCAAACCACCCCCTCACGGTGTGCCCTGCAAAGAGGCCGGGGCATGAGTGACCCAGGCCAGAGTCTCTGCTCGTCCAGCAGGGGGCGCAGTTGCCTGTCTCCTCGACTAAGCTAACAATAGGATCTGCAAAAACCAATTGCAGTTTGCGAAGAGCAGGGGGTGGGGGTGGAGGAAATGATACAGAACCGTCCCTTTGACCGACCTGGCATTTCGGGTAATAACCACCCTGACACTTTCTTGTTCGGAACCGCAATCACTTTATCTGCTGTCCAACTTCCATCCTGTGGAAGAAACAGATATGATTTATTTATTTACATTATCTATAGTCCGCCTGTCTTACAGGGACTCAAGGCGGGTTACGCCGAGTGAGTCAGTACGAATGACAAAATGGGACGGTTGGTAACCAAGGCACTGGGATTTTAGAGAAGTCTGGGACCACCAGGAAAAAAAGGAGCATAGCACAGAGCACATTAAGTGGATACAGAAATTACATAAATAGGATCCAATCTGTAGTAGAAAAGGGCAAGAGTCCAGTAGCCCCTTAGTAAAGGTAAAGGTTCCCTTGCTCGAAAGCCAGTCGAATCCGACTCTAGGGTTGCGGTGCTCATCTCCGTTTCCAAGCCGAAGAGCCAGCGCTGTCCGAAGACGTTTCCGTGGTCATGTGGCCGGCATGACTAAACACCAAGGCGCACGGAACGCTGTTACCTTCCCACCGAAGTGGTGCAGGGGAGGAGCTTTCGTGAGTCGCTGCTCACTTCTTCAAGATACAGCTAGAATGTGATCAATGGTCCCTCTAAGCTAAGGGTGTCGAACTCATTTGTTAGGAGGGCCAGCTGAGATAAATGAGACCTCGTCGGGCCGGGCCACGTGTGTCATAAAATGTAATGCCAGGGAGCAGAGATATACACTTTGTAAAGGACACAAACACAAAGAGGTTGGTTTTTTTAACTTAAAATAAAAACATGCTTAAAACATCAGCACTCTTGCAACGTTCTGCTTATTTAACAGTGTCCGATAACTGACACCTCTTGCTCTGAATTATTGCATCAAAACGTCTGTGCTGTTGCAATCTTGAGCGTGCTGTTCAGGTGGGTATCTGTAAGCTGCAAACCTACAATGACGCAGCAGCAACAGAACTGGAAGAAGAAGCAGAAGACAGCCAGTTCCACTGCGGGCCTGATAGAGGGCCTCCGGGGGCCTCATCCGGCCCCCGGGCCACATATTTGACACCCCTGATGTAGATTATCTCTACTTTCTACCTGGAATCCCAAACACTGGCATGCACCACTGTGCCCATGAACACTGTGGGGACCCCTGCTCTACAGGATTTCCGACCTCTGTTACGGGCTAAAGGTCATGTACAGACCAGCAGTGAAATCCACAGTGCTGGTGAACTTGGAGAACTGGGACTGTCCACTGCCACCCTCTCCGTTTCAGGCAAGGAAACTCAGCGAGCCATTTTTATTGCCGTGCATAAACAGTCGCTGACGTTCACCTGCGTCTTGTAGAAGTGATAGACGGTGCCCTGGAGTAGGCAGGCCACCATTCCGTGCGCCGCGTCGGGGTTGTGCAGGAACCGGACCTTGAAGGGGGCGGAGTCCTCCCCTAAGTCGATCGACTGGAGAAGGCAGTGGGTGGTCCAGTCCCAGACGTTCAGGCGACGGCCGTAGCGCCCTGGAGGTGGACAGAGAAGAAGGCCCAAGCCAGACAGCCGGTGAGCAACTGTGGATCCACCTGGGGTAACAGGCTACTGGTCATTGAGAAACACTTCAAGTCATGGTGACTGCGAAGAAAGCGAATGCAATCTTAGGATGCATTAACAGAAGCATTTTGTCCAGATCTCGGGAGGTGGTCGTTCCGCTCTATCCTGCTATGGTCAGACCTCACCGGGAGTCCTGTGTCCAGTTTTGGGCACCACATTTTAGGAAGGATGTTGACAAGCTCGAGCGTGTCCAGAAAAGGGCAACCAGGATGGTGAGAGGGTTGGAATCCAAGTCTTACGAGGAAAGGCTGAAAGAGTTGGGTCTGTTTAGCCTGGGAAAGAGAAGGCTTAGAGGGGACATGACTGCAGTCTTCAAGTATTTGAAGGGCTGTCATGTAGAAGATGGAGCGGATCTATTCTCTCTTGCTCCGGATTGCAAGACCAGATCGAATGGGTGGGAATGACAAGGGAGTCGTTACCTGCTAAATATCAGGAGAAACTTCCTGACTGTAAGAGTGGTTGAGCAGTGGAACAGTCTGCCTCAGGAGGTGGTGGATGCTCCTTCACTGGAAGTTTTCAAGCGGAGGCTGGACGACCATCTTTTGGATATGTTGTAGGGCTGTCTTTCAGCCATGCTCCTGCAGAGTGCAGGGGGTTGGACTAGATGACCTGCAAGGTCCCTTCCAATGCTAACGTTTTATGATTCTATGATTCTATGGTCCTAGGTAGCAGCTGACCCTGGACAGCCAATCCTTTGCCACAGTTTGCTCGATAACCAACGGCCATAGAGAGTGATGTAAGCTGTTCTGCATCCCACTGGGGAGAAAGGCAGGATATAGGCACAGGGCAGGGGTCACTGGGGGAGTAGGGAGGGAAGATTGTTGAGGGAACAGAAGAGAAGCCATGTTGTGTCAGGCCAGTGGCCCATCCAGTCCACCACTCTGTGTCACACAGTGGCCAAAGCCCAGGGGCCACCAGGAGGACCAGCGGGGCCAGAACTCCAGAAGCCCTTCCCCTCTTCCCCCCCCCCCCAAAGCATCAGGAAGACAGAGCATCCCTTGCCCCAGACATAAGAACAGAAAAGAAGCCATGTTGGATCAGGCCAAAGGCCCCTCCAGTCCAACACTCTGTGTCACAGAGTGGCCAAAACTCAGGTGAATGTCCTGCGTTGTGCCAGGTGGGTTGACTAGATGACCCCCGAGTTCCCTTCCAGCTCTATGTTTCTAGTTCTATACAAAAATAAATATATAAATAAGGGCATTGCCCGTGTCGCGAGGCCTTACCTTTCCCCAGGTCAGCTGGGTTGAACCCGGTGACGAAGAATTTGGGCACCCCCCATTCAGTGCTGACCATGACGTTGTGCCTCGGCTGGTACCAGAAGTCGTACCCTTGGGGGGCCGCTTGAGTCGGTCTCTCCCAGTTCCCCTTCACTTCGAAGGTCTCCGCATCCAGAAGGACAAAACCACCTGGCAGAAGAACGAGATCCGTGCTCAGAAATCCGCACCCCTCTTCCCGGACTCCTCGTCAAGGGGTGGGGTGAAAATTAGATCGAAGGAATCCAAAACAAATCAGTTTTTTGTACGTGGGCAGATGCATAAATCTCAAGGCTACCATGTTGAGGCGATTGATCTGTTCACCGAACAACCTTCAAAGGTGCTCCCCAACAACCAAGATCAATGCCCTGATTAAAATTGTCAGTACTTTCAAATTAAGGGCAGAACCAAGTTTGAGTCCAGTGGCACCTTTAAGACCAACAGAGTTTAATTCTGTGTATACGCTTTCGAGCCATCCTTTCATGTGCACGTTTTGTATTCTTCTCCTTTTTTCTTTTCTCCCCCATTAGGATAAGCTTTCAAGCCATCCTTTCATGTGCGTGTTTTGTATTCTTCCCCATATATGCCCCAGAGAGCACTACGGTCGGGGTCTCAAAACCCCGACCCTCCCAGGCCCCAAAGATGCCAGGCTCGCTACCACCAGGGCCAGGGCTTTCTCAGTGGCGGCCCCGTCCTAGTGGAATGAGCTCCCGGAGGAGATCAGGGCCCTGCGGGATCTTTTACAGTTCCGCAGGGCCTGCGAGACGGAGCTCTTCCGCCAGGCTTTCAGCTAAGGAGCCGCCGCCACTATAAAGCCCTGGCCCTTGGTTTTGACACCTAGCCTGTGCCGCAGGAAGACCATGAGCAGAATGATTCCTATACCTCTGAAAGTATACGGTGAGAGTCAGCCATCTTGAACAACTAAATAACCATCGCCAGCACTTGATTAATTTGTATCGAGACCCGAGTGTGCCGCATGATGGAGTGAGCTCCCGTCTCTAGTTCCAGCTCCTGCTAGCCTAGCAGTTCGAAAGCAAGAAATTGCAAGTAGATAAATAGGTACCACTTTGGTGGGAAGGTAAGCATTCCGTGCGCCTTGGTGTTTAGTCATGCCGGCCACATGACCACGGAAACGTCTTCGGACAGCGCTGGCTCTTCGGCTTGGAAACGGAGATGAGCACCGCAACCATGGAGTCGGACTTGACTGGCTTTCGAGCAAGGGAGATCTTTACCTTTACCTTAAGGGAATTGTTTTTAGATGATTTTATGTGTTTTAATTGTATTTATGCTTTGATTGTGAGCCGCCCTGAGCCCACATTGCAGGGAGGGCGGGTACAAATGAGATTAATTAATAAATAAATAAATTCTCCTTTTTTTCTCCCCCCCCCCATTAGCACCAATTAAGAGAAAGAAATAAAATTATCAAACACAGGCCCTGTTCACACAGAGCATTTGCTCCGCTGAAGGCACGGGAGGCGTAGCAGGGAACATCTGGGAGGCGTAGCACACCCGTGGCGAACCCGTGGCAAGCCGCTGAAGCCACGCAGTAAAAAACCACCTCACCGCATGTAGTGGCAAACGCTTTGCCACGGGCCGCCTATGGAAGCCTCCTGGTGTGATTGCACCGGCGCGCGGCTTCCTCCCGTCATCCTCTTTGCTGCAGGAAAGCCACCGTCGCGTCTGATCGCATAATAGCGCATCAGAATGCGACGGCACAAATAGCCGTGCTCCCCCCCCGCGTTTTCCGGCACGTCTGGCCGGGGCCTAGGTATATCAATGGCTAGACCGATGTTTCTCACACTGGGGCCTGCGGACTCCTGGTGAGGGTACTCCAGGGGGTCCTTTGTAAACACATAGGCAAACTTATAGTTGCCAACCTACAGGTGGTTGCCAACAAACAAGAAACCACTGTGATGAAATGACAATGACACATTTAATAAATTCTGTAGACATTTTGCAGTAAAACAGAGTCCAACTTATTCATTTTCTCAACAGAGTCCAGAGGAGTAGAAACAAACATGAAGCTGAATGTAATAATTTTGTTATCACTTACATTCAGCTTCATGTTTGTTTCTACTCCTCTGGACTCTGTTGAGAAAATGAATAAGTTGGACTCTGTTTTACTGCCCCCCCGCGCGTTTTCCGGCACATCTGACCAGGGCCACAGTTTTCCAACTAGAGTTTCCTTAGCTGAACGACAGATCCACTTTTGACCAAGTGATGTGTTGCTTGTCTAGACCAGGGGACGTTGAGCGCCCCAGCTCTAGCCTGCCCTCAGCCGGGATTCCCCGGGGGAATCCATTTTGTGAAATACCTTTTCCGTTGCCACGCGGGTCCCCTATTGCGCTGATCATGACTTCCCCGCTGCCCAGGCAGTGAGAGGTGTGCAGCAAAGCCAGGTCGCATTTCTGGAAAACATCTCTTGGCTCAATCACCTGTGGAGTCAAAGGAAAGGACATTTGTGATGAAATCACATTGAGCTGACGCATGGTGTCCCCCATCCCTCCGCCCCACCCTCATAATCAAGGGGTCCGAAACCATGAAGATAGTTACGGCAGGGTAGAGTCAAAACTCTCCTCAGAGCTATCAGTATCTATCAGATACTGAAGTTTGACTCTCGAAAGCTCGCACCCTGAAAATATTGTCCGTCTGTAAGGTGCTGCTGGACTTGAAGTCCAGCGAAATCATAAACTGAACCTTGGGACTGCCGCGAGACATAGAGAATGTCACACCCAGAGGCACACCGTGACCTGTGTGTGTGTGTGGGGGGGGAGAAGAAGTAGAAGAAGAGGTAAAAGAAGTAGAAGTAGAAGAAGAAGTAGAAGAAGAGGAAGCAGAAGAAGCAGAACAAGCAGAAGAAGTAGAAGCAGAGGTCATTTCGGGGGGGAATGCGGGGGAACGCAGTTCCCCCGGGTGAGGTGCAGGGGGCGGGGCACATGACGAAGCCCCGCCCCCTGCTTCCGGCCACCCCGCTTCCAGCCCTCATTCAGCCAGGAGGAGGCAGGAGAAGAGGGAGGGTAAGTTGCTTCCTCCCCGCCTCTCCCCACCCCTGCCTGCCTGGGGCCAGGGAGGGCCTTGGCGGGGCTTCCTCGCACTCCCTCCAGCCTTGTAGGTCCACCGCCGGGCCCGTGATGTCAGGGGGTGTGGCATATGCCAATGAGGTATGCTAATGAGTTCCCCTAGCTCTTTTTCTATGAAATGATCCCTGAGTAGAAGTAGAAGAAGCAGAAGAAGTAGCAGTAGAAGAAGTAAAAGAAGAAGTAGAAGAAGTAGAAGTAGAAGAGGAGGAGGAGGAGGAGGAGATTGGATTTATACCCCGCCCTTCACTCAAAGTCTCAGAGCGGCTTACAAACTCCTTTCCCTTCCCCGCCCCACAACAGACACCCTGGGAGGTAGGTGGGGCTGAGAGAGCTCTGACAGAAACGGCTCTTTTTCAAGGACAGCTCTGACTGAACTACGGCTTGCCCAAGGTCATCCAACAGCTGCAAGTGGAGGCGTGGGGAATCAAACCCGGTCCTCCCAGGTTAGAGTCTGCGCACTTAACCACCACACCAAACTGGCTCTCTTACCAACCACTTATCGACCCAAATACTATGCCAGGGAACCCCCACAGCCGGCTGATTTGTTAGAAGTGTGACTGCATTTTAATGTTTATTAAAATGGTTTCAATGCTTTGATTTTGATTGTATTTGTTGTATGGGAAGGGAAAGGAGTTTGTAAACCACTCTGGGACTCCTTTGGGTAGTGAAGGGCAGGGTATAAATCCAATCTCTTCTTCTTCTTCTTCTTCTTCTTCTACTTCTTCTTTTGCAAAGGCAGCTTTGGAGGGTGGACTCTATGGCCATTTTGGCGTAGTGGTTAAGTGCGCGGACTCTAATCTGGGAGAGCCGGGTTTGATTCCCCCACTCCTCCACTTGCACCTGGCTGGATGACCCTGGGCAAGCCACAGTTCTGATAAGAGCTGTCCTTGAAAAAAGAGCAGTTTCTGTCAGAGCTCTCTCAGCCCCACCTACCTCACAGGGTGCCTGTTGTGGGGAGGGGGAGGGAAAGGAATTTGTAAGCCGCTCTGAGGCACCTTTGGGTAGTGAAGGGGTATAAATCCAATCTCCTCCTCCTCCTAATTGGATGTGTGACAACCACCTCGGGGAGGCCACATAGAGATGTCCACTGCCTCAACCGAAGGCCTGGCGGAAGAGCTCCGTCTCACAGGCCCTGCGGAATTGAAGAAGATCCCGCAGGGCCCTGATCTCGACTGGGAGCGTGTTCCACCAGTCAGGGTCCAGGGCGGAAAAGGCCCTGGCCCTGGTTGAGGCAAGACGTGGGTCCTTGGGCCATGGACAACCAGGAGACGTTGGTCCATAGTGCGTAGATGTCGATCCATAAAGACGTACCGTGAAGAGCCTGGGAGCCCTCTGGTCAGTCCCCGTGTCCACCACATAAATGCGAGAGGAGCCGAGGCAGGGAAGTATCAGCCTGTTCCGCTTCTTGGTGACATCCCCGAAACAGCTGCTGCAGGTGTTCCACCCGGAGTGGTGGAGTTCGTCGCCGATGTAAGGCATCGTTAGGCGGTGGATCACCTGGGGAGGAAGGCGGGACGTTAGCTGCTCTCCAATCCGCCCCCCCCCCAACCAGTGCTCCCTCTAAGCCGTGGAGTCTTGAAAGCAAATTAAAGTTGTGAGCGAGCGATTGGGCTGATGCAGAAATTAGTTTGCTCTGGAGCAATGTTCCCTCTGAGCTGTGGAGTCTTGTGAGCAAAAATTCTACTTTGTGAGCAACTGGCATTAAAATCGTGAGGGAGCAATTTGGCTGCTGCATGAATTAGTTTGCTCTGGAGCCCTCCTTCCTGAGCGAAGACAAAAATGTGGGAGCCGGGAGGGGTTCCGGTTCCAGTACGGCGCTGCGACGGGCGGCTCTTCGGGAGCTCCCGGGCCGCCCAACTTTCACACGTGGGCTCCGCTAGGTCTCTCGAAGGGAGACCAAGTGGCAGGAGGCTTTTTCCGGTCCCCCTTATCTTCGGCAAAGACGGGGGTGAGACCGGCACGCCTTGAAGCGGGAGTGTTTGAGGAGCAGGGACATGTCCGCCATGTTCCTACGTAGCAGCTGCCAGCCATTTTTAAGCTTTTTTTTTTTTTTGAATGATATTCGACATATTACAATGAAGAGTTTATCGTGTGCACACTCGGGACGAAATTGAGAAGATTTGATTACTATACCCCCTGTGGATATTCCCTCTCTTAAGGAAAAACGGCCGTAAAAATCTGCTGGGGAACAGAGAGTGAAGAGGACTACTAGGGGAGAGACAATTACTGTTTTTGCTGAAAGTTTTATTATTCCTTTAAAAGCTATCTTTATAGCTCAATCAGAAGATCATTAATATACAATGACCCTTGAAATATATTTGAACTTGCTTAATTGAAAAGACACGTATGTTGGAGTGTTGGAGTGAGGAAATGGAGGTGGTGGAGGTTAATGAGGAGATAGACCAGGATACAAAAATCTGTGCACTTACATTGGAACAATTTTGGAAATTTTTGATAGAAGAAGTAAGGCAAGCATTTAAATTGGCCTGCGAGAATGTTTTGAGGAATCCTCAGAGTATTTCTTTGGAGGTGAAGGACAATAAAGAACAAACACAAAGAACGCAAAGGCGGGGTGAAGCCCAGGAACTTGATCAGGAGAGAGAGCTACATGTTATCCAGCCTTTGCTTACAGAAGATGGGACACAGGAGGCGGATATCCCTAAATGTGTTTTGGAGGAACAAATAAGTTTGAAACCAGGAGTGACAAAAAAATGTGTATTAAACCCTCCTTGGAGAAAAAAGAAGAAGCCAACAAGAGGGAAAAAATTAAAGAAAGGTGTAAAGAAACCCAAAGCTTTCAAAAAACTGAATGTAGATTTAAAGGAATATGGAAGAGAAAATTCCGAAGTTAAATTACAGGAGTACAAAGACTTACGACATTTAGAAGAGAATGGGAAAAAATCCATATAAAAAGGAAATGGAATACAGTGTCATTGTAATGATTTTCATTTACTAGTTGTAAGATAATAATTTTCTTGTTCTTTGAAACCCTAAGAGGTGGCTGTAATGTATGGAAAAGATTAGAAGTATAATAGGATGTGAACTTATAAGAGAAGACAGAGTGATACAGCTCTCATTGCCAAACTTGAGTTGGATTTTGAGTTGGATTCTAAGAACAGGTATCATTCTTTGGAGTCAATGAGAACTAATGTTATATGAAGTTTAGGATAGAAGAAGGAGAAACTTTATATTACCAGTTTCGTTTGTAATATTTTCATACCGTTAAAATATGTATTAGTATTAATGGTTTGGACACTGTTAAAAATGTTAAATACCTTAGGGAAAAATAAGAGACAAAAAAAAAAAGGAAAAAAAGAGAGAGACAAAATTAGTGCTGGTGTGATGGAGAGTTGTGATGTGGGACCAATACGTGATGGAAAGCATCACAGAGAGGTGTAACAAAGCTGTTGGGAGAAATTGCAATATGGGATTCAGCGCAAAGTGGTTTCCAATATTAACCTTCCTAGAAAATGAGGCATATATTCCCTCATCTTGGTCTGAATACATAAAATGGATCTAATGACATGCTAAGGTCGGGTGGGACTTACTGATAAGAACCCAATTTCATACAAATGATATATTATAATTTTGGTCTCAATCTATGAACCAGAAGTGATACTGATTTATTCAACTGATTATAAAGTTAATACTTACTGTGGTAATTTGTTTTAATAAAACTTTAGTGTAAATGTTAGCTTATTAATTCTTTGTAGTTAATTTATAATAACTTGTTGAACAAAGCTGTTCCAGCTTAAAAATCAAGTTATAGTCTACTGTTTCATTATACTTATGCATATTACATTGTTGTACCTTTACAAAACGGTGAAGTTTTTTTTAATATGTGTAAGAAGATACTTTTCTATTTGCAGCTTTGTTTCTGATGTACTACTGTAGGTAAATTAATTGAGAATGGAAATCATTGTAGGCATTAGAAGCTCTATTATGGTTCACACCATTTAAGATTTGTATTTTTTGTTATTATGTTTTGTAAATCAATTTTGTTATGGCATTTATGTCTGGGATGAGAGTAGCAGGTAGTAACAATCACACTGTAAATAAGAATTAATAAGTGAATAAGCCAGATTTTGTAGGCGATCGTTTTGTGAATATTCCATCTGAATGTATAATCTTTTCTCAAAATTAGATTGAAGGTTAATATTTGACCACAAGTGATTTAAATAGAAAGTTAGTGGATGGCTTCCTAATTAGGTATTCTGCTATATGGATGGGAAGACGGAGTAATGGGAGGAAAGTATATATGGTAGTTGACAATTATTTTGGTAGATCCAACGGAGAGGATCCTGAGTCATGCAATGTGAAATTTTAGTTGGTTAATATGAGAATAGGGAGAATTTATAATTTACTCATTTACAACCAAATTGTTTGATCATTGTGATGTGTTGAGAAAATAGTTGTAGTTGGTTTATGTTTGTTGCTGTTGTTTGTGTGTTGGTGTGGGGTGTCTAGGTAAAGGTAAAGGTTCCCTTGCTCGAAAGCCAGTCGAATCCGACTCTAGGGTTGCGGTGCTCATCTCCGTTTCAAAGCCGAAGAGCCAGCACTGTCCGAAGACGTTTCCGTGGTCATGTGGCCGGCATGACTAAACACCGAGGCGCACGGAACGCTGTTACCTTCCCACCAAAGTGGTACCTATTTATCTACTTGCCATTTCTTGCTTTCGAACTGCTAGGTTGGCAGGAGCTGGAACTAGAGACGGGAGCTCACTCCGTCTTGCGGCACACCCGGGTCTCGAACTGCTGAACTACCGACCTTCCACAGCCTGCAGTTCAGCGTCTTAACCACTTGAGCCACCGCAGCTCCCCGTGGGGTGTCTACTAAGCATAAAAACTTAATAAATATATTATTTTTTAAAATGTGGGAGCTGGAGGCTAAAAAAACTGTGAGCTAGCTCACAGCAACTCAGCTGAGAGGGAGCACTGCTCTGGCGCCATCCTTCCTGAGCTAAGACAAAAACGTGTGAGCCGGAGGCTAAAAAACTGTGAGCATAGAGGCTGAGACCTTCCCCTGATGTTGCCCACTGACACTGAGGTTCGAAGGATGACTGCCCCTGAATGTGGAGGTTTCCTTTAATCTCCATGGCTAGTAGCCACTGATAAACCTCTCCTTCATGAATGGAATGGAATGGTTGTTTCTGAATTCAGGACGTGTTCATTTCGACCCTCTCTTAATCCAGCCCTGGAACGGCAAAGTAAAAGATTCCCAAACGAAAAGATCTCTGGTCCGAACCTTGCAATAAGTCGGAGATTCTGGGTCTACGTCCACCGTAGCCAGGTAGTCGGGGGCTTGGGTGCCGGTGCCCGTTAAGATGCAGGGAACGTAGATGAGTCTCTCTCTGGGACCTTGGAAAGCAAAGACAACATTTAGCTATCAAGCAACGGGTCTCTTGGAAAAGCCACTAGAGCTTCCTCGACTCAAGGCCCTTTCTCTCCTATGAGCAGGTTTGTGCTTTCAAACAAAGATGAGTTTCGTCTTTCAAACAAAGATGAGTTTCGTCTAACTAAGAGTCCAGTAGCAACTTAAAGACTAACAACATTTGTGCAGGGCGCCGTGAGCTTTCACGTCTTTACTGCTACTTATCTGAACAAAGTTCGAGTCCAGCGGGCACCTTTAAGACCGACAAAATTTTATGGCTGATCTAAGCTTGCGTGTGCACGGATACTTCAGATAAGTACGTGTGCACACGAAAGGTTATACCTTGCATAAAACTTTGTTGGTCTTCAAGGTGCCACTGGAATCCAACTTTGTTCCACTGCTTCAGACCGACATGGTGACCCCACCTGAATGCTATTTATTTACATTTTTATCCCGCCCTCCCCGGAGGCTCAGGGCAGCTAACAAGGCGTATCGCCGAATAAAACAATAACACAGTACAACATATTAAAAAATACATCACCATTAAAACACTTTTGGTGCTCCTCTCAACCAATTCCCAAAATTACAATTTCTAAAAGCAAGATGGCCGTCCCCTAAACATCCTGTTCTCACCCACGATGCAGCGATTATGGGGCGTTGATGGTACATGCCCACAACCTGATGTCCATATATGGGGCGTTGATGGTACACTGGTGCGTTGGTGGTACACTGGTGGCGGCGGCTCCTATTCGAAAGCCTGGCGGAAGAGCTCCGTCTTGCAGGCTCTGCGGAACTGTGCTAGGTCCCGCAGAGCCCTGATCTCCTCTGGGAGCTCATTCCACCAGATAGGAGCCGCCACCGAGAATGCCCTATTCCTGGTCATGGTAAGTCTAATGGACCGGGGGCCTGGAACATCCAGTAGATGTTGATTCCCCGACCGTAGTGCCCTTGGGGGAACATGTGGGGCGAGGCGGTCCCTTAGGTAGGTATGTGAAGACGTGAGCCGTGACTCACGAAAGCTCCTCCCCTGCCACGAATTTTGTTAGTCTTCACGGTGCTCCTGGACTCTTGCTCTTTTCTCCTGCTACAGACAGACTAACAGGGCTCCCCATCTCGATCTATTAGAAGAAGTGAGCCGTGACTCACGAAAGCTCCTCCCCTGCCACGAATTTTGTTCGTCTTCACGGTGCTCCTGGACTCTTGCTCTTTTCTCCTGCTACAGACAGACTAACAGGGCTCCCCATCTCGATCTATTAGAAGAAGTGAGCCGTGACTCACGAAAGCTCCTCCCCTGCCACGAATTTTGTTAGTCTTCACGGTGCTCCTGGACTCTTGCTCTTTTCTCCTGCTACAGACAGACTAACAGGGCTCCCCATCTCGATCTATTAGAAGAAGTGAGCCGTGACTCACGAAAGCTCCTCCCCTGCCACGAATTTTGTTAGTCTTCACGGTGCTCCTGGACTCTTGCTCTTTTCTCCTGCTACAGACAGACTAACAGGGCTCCCCATCTCGATCTATTAGAAGAAGTGAGCCGTGACTCGCGAAAGCTCCTCCCCTGCCATGAATTTTGTTCGTCTTGAAGGTGCCGCTGGACTCTTGCTCTTTTCTACAGATACAGACAGACTAACACGGCTACCCGTCTCGATCTATCTGAAGAAGTGAGCCGTGAGTCTTTGAGGTGCTCCTGGACTCTGGCTCTCTTCTCCTGCTACAGACAGACTAACACGGCCACCCATCTGGAACTATCTGAAGAAGTGAGCCATGACTCAGGAAAGTTCCTCCCCTGCCACAAATTCTGTTGGTCTTTAAGGTACTCCTGAACTCTTGCTCTTTTCAACTGCTACAGAAGGAGGAGGAGGAGGAGGAGGAGATTCGGTTTATATGCTACTGGCATGATGACGTCACTTCCTATGTGACACCAGGAATGCGGCCTGGGCCTTCCTCTTAGGGTTCCCAAATGTGCCCGGGGGGCGGGGAATACCCCGCTTTGACGGCCCGATTTTCGACGGCCCGAAAATCGGGCCCGGGGGAAACCCCACCCCTGCGTGTGCGTCACCTGGAAGTGACGTCACACGCTGGGGGCGGGGCCACGCCATTTGAGGCCGGGGCCACGCCTAAGACGCTGGCCGGGAGCCCCCCACTCCCGGCAAAAATTTATTTGGCAACCCTACTTCCTCTTCCTCCTGTTAAGTCTCAAGAAAGTACCCTTTGGCTGAGCCTCAAGCGAACTTGGTGGCTATTATGTACAGGACTTGAGGCAGCTCTTTTCAGAAGTGATTTGTCCATTCCGCTCAGAACACAACAACACAGACAGAACGACCCAATATATACAATTTGAACCAAGGAAAACCACACCCCCTAGAACAATAATATCCAGTCAATAACGAGTGCTTGGAACCAATAGGAATTTATCCCATTGAATGTCAACTACTGTCCTGATTGGTCTGTCTCCCGACACTGACCAATCCTGTTGCAGATTTCAGGATACCAGGACTGAATGGAGCTTGTGGCTGAAGTGCAGGCATTCTGGACTTACAAGTAACACAATACACAACAGTAGTCATAAGGGTTTACCTTTCATGGCATCCAGAGGCGTCGCGTACCCAGGTCCAGTTCCGCCGGTTCCGCATTCACAGCCCCCTGTGTCATCTAGAGGGGGGAGGAGAGAAAAAGGGAGACTCATATTATTTCCAAAAGACCAGAAGAACATCAGAAGACCCCTGCTGGATCAGACTAATAGTCCATTTAGTCCAGCCTCCTGTCTCGCACGGTGGCCAACCAGTTCCTCTGGAGGGCCAGCAACAGGGCAGAGAGGCCGAGGCCTTCCCCTGATAAGAACCTCAGAAGAGCCCTGCTGGGTCAGACCAGTGAGGGTCCATCTAGTCCAGTCTCCTGTCTCACACAGGGGCCAGCCAGTTCCTCTGGAGGGCCAACAGCAGGGCAGAGAGGCCGAGACCTTCCCCTGAGAAGAACCTCAGAAGAGCCCTGCTGGGTCAGACCAGTGAGGGTCCATCTAGTCCAGCCTCCCGTCTCACACAGTGGCCAGTCAGTTCCTCTGGAGGGCCAGCAACAGGGCAGAGAGGCCGAGGCCTTCCCCTGAGAAGGACATCAGAAGAGCCCTGCTGGGTCAGACCAGTGAGGGTCCATCTAGTCCAGCATCCTGTCTCACACAAGGGCCAGCCAGTTCCTCTGGAGGGCCAGCAACAGGGCAGAGAGGCCGAGGCCTTCCCCTGAGAAGGACATCAGAAGAGCCCTGCTGGATCAGATGAGTGAAGGTCCATCTAGTCCACCATCCTGTCTCACACAGTGGCCAAACAGTTCCTCTGGAGGGCCAGCAACAGGGCAGAGAGGCCGAGGCCTTCCCCTGAGAAGAACATCAGAAGAGCCCCACAGGATCAGAATGATCGTCCATCCAGTCCAGACTCCTGTCTCACACAGTGGCCAGTATATATACACTAGCAACTGAAAATCCCAACTGCCTTGCGGGGGGTGTGTGTGTGTGTGAGTTTGAGGTGTGGAATGGAGTGTAGTCCAATCAGCTTCCATATGCAAATAACCTTGGAACGCTGGGCGGGACTGCACAAAGCAGCCAGTCAACCCAGCCAGTGTCTTCTGAGTGGCAGTTTTTCCGGCCTAACACTAAGGAGGCCAAATTTAGAATGTTGCGAAATAGAATGTTCAGTACTCAATTATATATAGGGAGAGATACTTTCCAACAACCACCAGCCTACCAGTTTCATCTACCCCTCCCCTCCAACTGTTAAATTAAAGTAACCCGGGGATTAGAACGATATTACGGCACCTCGTGGATTTTTGGGTAACGATCGAACGGTATTTTTTATTTAATGGTTTTTATGTAATTATGTCTTTATATGTATTGATGAGATGGTATTTATGAAACCTTCTTGTTCAGCTCCCTGAGCTCGTTCGCAGGGAGGGTGGTATATAAGCCTAGTAAATAATACTCATAGGCACCCTTTATTTTGTGTAGTTTGGTGTAGTGGTTAGGAGTGAGGACTCTAATCCGGGAGAACCGGGCTAAATATCAGGAGAAACTTCCTAACTGTAAGAGTGGTTGAGCAGTGGAACAGTCTGCCTCGGGAGGTGGTGGATGCTCCTTCGCTGGATGTTTTCAAGCAGAGGCTGGACGACCATCTTTCGGGTATGTTGTAGGTATGTAGGGCTATCTTTCGGCTATGCTCCTGCAGAGTGCAGGGGGTTGGATTAGATGACCTGCAAGGTCCCTTCCAACTCTAACTTTCTATGATTCTATGATTCCCCCACTCCTCCACATGCAGCTGCTGGTGTGACCTTGGGTCAGTCCCAAGTTCTATCAGAGCTGTTCTCTCAAGGGCAGTCCTCGAAAGAGCTCTCTCGGCCCCACCTCCCTCACAGGGTGTCTGTTGTGGGGAGGGGGAGGGAAAGAGGATTGTAAACTGCTCTGAGATTCCTTCGGATAATGAATCCAGTCTCCTCCTCCTCCGCCTCCGCCTCCTCCTCCTCCACCTCCTCCTCCTCCTCCTCCTCTTCTTCTTCTTCTTCTTCTTCTTCTTCTCCTCATTCTTCTTCTTCTTGACCCTAAGGACCTGAAACCTGGAGAGTCTCAGAAAGGCACCTGGATACAGCCAGGAAAGCCCAGGAAAGGTAGGGCGTGCTGGCATTACCAACTGGCTGAGTGCGATCTCTCCCAGCTCAGGGTTCTCGGAAACAACGTGACCTCACAAAGTTTGAGTCCAACGGCACCTTTAAGACCAGCAAAGTCTTATCCACGGTATCAGCTTTCGTGTGCATGGCACACTTCCTCAGATACAGAGACTTCACCTCATTCTCAATCACAAGAGACTTTTCAACACTGGAACGTCCCGTCATATCCTAGAGGCGTCTGCCCAGCCCAAGGAAGTTGCTACTTAATTAATCAATGCCCGGTTCATCTCTCCCCTTTTTTGCTCAATCGAGAAGGGTGCTCGAGCCATTAATTTATGCTCCATCCTGTTCCGGGAACTCTCTTGACTCACCGAAACTTTTGTGTCGATGCAGATCCGGCTCACTTCAACTTAATTAAAGTATGTTAATCACGCCGCCTCACCCAGCCTTTTTTGTGCCCAGGCAGATTTGGCTCACAAGAGCCCAATCGAGGAATTTTTACCGCTTTTCCCAGCCAAAGTTTGATAGCCGTTAACTTGAAATCAGCCAGTGAGATTCAAATGTTTTCATCCTGGACCAATCTCGTTCCTCCACTTGCAGCTGCTGGATGACCTTGGGCGAGCCATAGTTCTGTCAGAGCTGTTCTCTCAAGGGCAGTTCTGGAAAGAGCTCTCTCAGCCCTGCCTACCTCACAGGGTGTCTGTTGTGGGGAGGGGAAGGGAAAAGAGTTTGTAAGCCGCTCTGAGACTCCGAGGGAAGGGCGGGGTATAAATCCAATCTCCTCCTCCTCCTCTTCTTCTTCTGCTTCTTCTTCTTCCTAGGAAAGTGGGTTCCCATGTCCATCTATCATAGAATCATAGAATGTGAGAGTTGGAAGGGACCTTGCAGGTCATCTAGTCCAACCCCCTGCACTCTGCAGGAGGCATAGCTGAAAGATAGCCCTACAACATACCCGAAAGATGGTCGTCCAGCCTCCACTTGAAAACGTCCCGCAAAGGAGCATCCACCCCTTCCCGAGGCAGACTGTCCCACTGCTCAACCACTCTTACAGTCAGGAAGCTTCTCCTGATATTTAGCCGGTAACGACTCCCTTGTAATCAATGCTCCCTCTAAGCTGTGGAGTGCTGTGAGCAAAAATTCTACTTTGCGAGCTACTGGCCTTACAGTTGTGAGCAAGCGACTGGGCTACTGCATAAATTAGTTTGCTCTGGAGCCATCCTTCCTGAGCTAAGGCAAAAATCTGTGAGCCAGAGGCTAAAAAACTGTGAGCTAGCTCACACTAACTCAGCTTAGAGGGAACATTGCTTGTAATTCCCACCCATTCGATCTAGACTTGCAATCCGGAGCAAGAGAGAACAGATCCGCTCCATCTTCTACATGACAGCCCTTCAGATACTTGAAGACTGCAATCCTGTCCCCTCTAAGCCTTCTCTTTCCCAGGCTAAACAGACCCAACTCTTTCAGCCTTTCCTTGTAAGACTTGGATTCCAACCCTCTCGCCATCCTGGTTGCCCTCTTCTGGACACGCTCTCGCCCATAAAAAGACCATCCCAGGGCAGCGAGAAGCGTGCCAGCTTTCCCTCTGCCCGAACACCCCTGCAACTGTGTGGCAGGCTTTTTCTCCTTGAATAGCCGTCTCCTCAGACCTCTCCGGACCCCAAGCCCAGCGTCTCAGGTCGTGGCCCCCTTCCCCAAACACTTCCCAATTTCCACCCTCCTACCTTTATTAGTGTGCCCTCTTGCTGGGATGTGTGTGTGTGTGGAGGAGGAGGAGGAGAAGAAGAGGAGGAGGAGGAGGAGGAGGAAGCAGAGGAAGAAGAAGTGGAAGAAGAAGAGGAGGAGGAGGAGGAAACTGGGTTTATACCCCGCCCTCCACTACCCAAAGGAGTCTCAGAGTGGCTTACAATCCCTTTCCCTTTCCTTCCCTTCCCCACGACAGACACCCAGTGAGGTAGGTGGGGCTGACAGAGCTCTCTCGAGAACTGCCCTTGAGAGAACAGCTCTGGAAGAACTTATGACTGGCCCAAGGTCACACCAGCAGCTGCATGTGAAGGCGTGGGGAATCTTCTGGGCATGGAGCAGGGGGTCACTGGTGGTTTGTGGGGAGGAGGTATTTGTGAATTGTGCAGGGGGGTTGGACTAGATGACCTCTGAGGTCCCTTCCAACCCTATGATTCTATTATTCAAAATGCTAGCCAGGCCCGACCCTGCTTAGCTACTGAGGTCTGACGAGATCGGGCCATCCTGCGCCATCCAGGTAAAGGAAAGAGAAGATCAGAGGTCACTTGCCACTGCCTGCCTCAGCATAGCGACCCCGAACGTCCTAGCTGGTCTCCCACTGAAGTACTAACCTGGGCTGACCCTGCTTAGCTTCCGAGATCTGCTCAGATCAGGCTAGCCTGGGCAATCCAGGTCAAGGCAGGAGACAAGCAGAGGTGGGTTTGCCACTGCCTGCCTCTGCGTAGCAACCCTGGACTTCTTTTAATGGGTCTCCCATCCAAGTTCTAATCTGGGCTGCCCCTGCTTAGGTGCTGAGATCTGGGCTGTCCAGGTCAACCCGGGAACGACGCATCAATTGTTGTTGTTCAGTCGCACAGTCGAGTCCGACTCTTCACGACCCCATGGACCAGCTCCCGCCAGGCCCTCCTGTCTTCCGCCGTCCTCTGAAGTTCACTCAATTTCATGTTCGTTGCATCGATGACACTGTCTAACCATCTCATCCTTTGCCGTCCCCGTCTTCTTTGACCTTCAGTCTTTCCCAGCATCAGGGTCTTCTCCAGGGAGTGCTCCCTTCTCATTGGGTGGCCAAAGTATTTGAGCTTCAGTTTCATTATCTGGCCTTCCAGGGAACAGTCAGGGTTGATTTCTTTGAGGATTGACTGATTTGATCTTCTTGCAGTCCAAGGGACTCTCAAGAGTCTTCTCCAGCACCATAGTTCAAAAGAATCTATTCTTCGGCGCTCGGCCTTCCTTATAGTCCAACTCTCGCAACCATACATGACTAC